ATGCAGGGGGTGGTGGGAAGCTTTGGAGCTGCACCTGGCTGTAGGGACGCTGCAACTGCGGCTCCAGGGCCCCACTGCTGCTGCCATTGCCACTGCTGCCCTGGAAGGTGCTGCACAAGGGATCCGAAAACAGGTCTGGAAAGTCTCCTGCCTGGTTACTGACAAACTGCAGCATCTCTGTAAAACAGAAGAAAATTGGTTCAACGCTATTTTGTCACCTGCATACTTTGACACCTGGCATTTACATAATGGAATTGCAGTGTGTATGCACAGAAGGGAGCTCTGGGTCCTTCAAAACCTTCAGAGAACATCACAACAATGCGACGCCTCCAGAGAGAGACCAGGACATGGCCAGCAGCACAGCACTGCTGCTGCTGTTCAGTGCAAAAAGTAAGATCCTCCCACAACACTTTTCCAGACAACAAGATCCAAGCACAGGCTAGAACTTAAAGCCTTCTCCAATATACATTTAAAATATTAGGGTCTTGTTCCATCACTCCTTCAGTCTAACCCTTGCAGAAGGAAGAAACCAAGCATCTCCACAATTCCAGCACTAACCATTCTCTCACCCAACTTTTGGGAGCTTTCAAGTACCCTATCTGTACTGCCCCACTGAGTATCTGGAAAAGGAAGAGAAAGGATAAGAATTCATTTTATCTTGCTTTTACTTATAAGCATAACAAAAAATTGGGGGAAAACCATGAAAGGAAACATCACTTTATAAAACTGTAGCAGGAAAAATCCATGCATGTGTTTAAAACATCAGAATTAACCTTTTCTGTTGGTTTTCTGCCTGCAATTACTGCATAACAGGTTCTCTCCATCCCACCTTCTCCAGGATATTATGAACCCACATCAAGAGGCTCCTACTGCAACACTCTAGGTCTTCCCCCAAAGGTGAAGATTTCACAACCAAGAGATCATTGTTCATAAGCAGAGCTTCCTCTTCCCTCCATCTAATCCAATTTAATCCAATTAGGCACCTTAAGACATATGAATGATTTCCTTGATCTGTGTGCAGGCAGCGGTGTGAGGAATCAGATATTCTTCCCTATCCCAGGACCTGCCCACGTTACACTGGCTCTTCCATGGTTTTCTGAAAGTCCTATTTTTTTTATTTTCTGAAAACAGGAAAAAAAGGGGACCCACAAACCTAAGAGAGATAATAAAATATGGGTTTAGAAAGCAAAAAACGGATTTCTGATTTATAGGAAAAAAATATGGCAAAGGGCTCCTTACACCAAGACCTTTCTCAGTCACAAATCCCAAAGGATGTCACTGCTGTGATTTATGAAGTAAATTTGAAGCAGTAAAAACAATTTTAACAAGTTTCCATGGATTATATCCCAGCAATAAGAGGGCTATTAATTTGCTCAGCTCTCTGAAATGCCACCCACACATTATCCAATTAATTTGCCTGACACTCCTTTGTCTGAAACAGAGCAAAGGGATGAATCCTCCTCCAAGCCTCTTGCTCTCTCAACGCACATTTCAACATACTTCTGTGACACTACTACTCTCCCCTTTTGATAGCAATCCCTCCATACCCTGATACACATTTAAGCACTGGCCATGACCACTGCTCTCAAGAACTAGGGTCTCTTGGAGGGAGGAGCCTGGGAGGAGATGTGTCCTCCTGACCTGTTCATAACCTGACGCTGAGTGGGGACGCACAGCTCCCCCAGCATGAGGCAGCAGCCACCCTCGGGGACCAGCTGGACCAAACAAACCCTTGTCTCCACTCTTCACTAGAGAAATGAAAGGGGTATTTTTAATGCATTGCCTTAACTGGCTTCCACAAAACAGTAACAGAGCAAGGAGGGCTGTTTCAAGATTAATATCTGGATGGATATTAAACAGCTCTTCACATTCCAACTGACTTCAGCTAAGACCATCCCAAATAACCCTCACCATGATAAAACTGATAATCCAAAGTACTTCCCAAACTCTGCATTTGATGTTATTGCTATTTCACTATCAGACAGCACAACTGCAAGTACTGAATAAACTTAAATCAGACGAGATTTGCTCTGGAAGAGTAAATTCCAGCATAAGAACAAAATTTCAAGCACTACGTTTCAAAGAACCTCGTGTTCAAGGCAGCAGATTTAATATCTTATTTTAAAAACTACTCCTGCTCTCACAAGTTAAATCACATCTTTATGGCAGACTTAACTTTGACTAAATGCAAAAAATCTAAAGCTTAAGTTTTAAGAATTAAGACTGCTAGGGGATCAAATCCACCTCTTTTCAAGGGCTCGAGAGCTCTCCTAATAACAACACACAAAAAGCAAGAGAAACAGTCAACACCCAAAATCTAAATCTCTGCTTTTTAAAAGACCTTTGCCTACCCAGAAATCAGAGTATCTACACTGACTGTGAGAAACCTCAGGTGCTTCTGGAGCCATCAGTGATAAACCCGGTGTCACTAGAACACCTGCACCCTCTGTGCTGGAGAAGTCTCAGGCCCTAAAGCAGAGAGACCTTACTGCAGAAAAAAAATCCCAGCCCAACCCAAGGCTAAAAAATGTCAACAAGGTATTACAAAACCAAAACTGAGCCCACCAAAGGCTTCTGCCACTCTGTCCAGCCTAGGGCCTGAATACCTGGCAGAAAGGCAAGGGCTGGGCTTCAGCTGCCTCTCCCAGGCGGTGGCTCAGCTCTCCAGCACAGAGGCTGCTCTTCCTCACGTTCCTGGAGATGCTGTGCTCTGAGAAACAGAAATCAGCAGAGATCCCAACCTCAACAGAAACAACCTCTCTGTCCTCAACCCTGATGTGCTTCGACCTCCAGCCGACTCAAACCTCATGCTCCGATGTTACCCAGCAGTGCCCTGCCAGCAGGAAGATGCCCACGGCTGGTGGAGGAGCTTGTGCTGGGGCAGAGACTTTGGGATCAGCACTGGGGCCCCCTGGCCACCCTTGTGCCATGTCTTGAAGTATGAACCCAGTGAGCACTGACATCCCAGAGCACGTCCACCACAAAGAATCAAAATCCACACAACAGGCAGTGAGGAGCCCCTCAGACTGAACGGGAGAGGAACACCCAGAAGAGGATTTAAAAAACAAATGAAAATCCTTGCAAAATTTCAAATCCTGAGATGAATCCATGCTGGAGCACAAAAAAAGCAGGATTGTCATGGATCTTCTCCCTGCCTTCCCCAGGAAAATCTGCCCCTGGAGGTGGGGAGGAAAGTGAAGCTCGTTTTCCTAAGTTACTCATCGTTCTGAATCACACCTCCCAGGGCACACCTCGGTTCAGAGCCATTGCTGGGTTCAATTCGTCTCAGTTTCCGTGTGGAACCTGAGAACTAATTACGTGGTGCTTGAACAACAGCAAACACCACCTTCAATGTGCACTATCAAACTTTAAGAGCAATAACTAAGCCCATTGCACTCTCATAAGGTATATTCCTCTTTCATGACAAAAGAAAAAAAAGGAGTATAAATTTTATCCCAAGCTATGTGGCAAATCAGTGTCAAGTAGAAATCTAAAAGTACTGATAAAATTTTATCTCCTAGCCGCTAAACAAGGATATTTTGGACACTGCCAAAACTGAGCTCTGTTTGGGATTACAGCCCAGCAGAGCAATGAGTTAAAGCAGAAACTCATCTCCACCAGCCTACAGCACAGACCACACCGAGAAATGTCATTTTAAATGGGGTTTATAAGAGCTTCTTGGTGTCGCCAAAAATATACATAAAATAGGCGTCACACGCAAGCGCTTCATTTTGCTGCACTTCGATGGAAAACAAGGGCTTTCTCACAGGTCTGAGCTGTGCCAGCGATGCAGCAAAGTTTTAGGATGACAGGGAAAATGGGAAATTTAAGCAGTTCGAGCTGTTTCGATGCAGGAGGGCTCGGAGGCTCGGCCTCTCACGGGCACTGGTGGAGGCACAGCTTCAGCCATCGTTTAGCAGCTACTCTAAGAGAGCCAAGAGGAATACGAGGGGAACGCGGGCAGCTCCGCGGGTCTGCGGCAGGAGCAAGGGGACACGGTCAGCACTTTCCCCAAACCCTGCCCGCGCCGGACACCGGGGGAAGGAAGGCTGGGCTGGGCGGCTCGCTCCCCGACATCCCCACCGCCTTCCTGCGGCTACGGCCTCGATCCAGGCGTGCGGCAGCCGCACCAAAGTCGCTCAGAAGCGCTCCCCCGGCACGGCGTGGCCGCTCGGCAGGCGAGTGCTGCCCGGCGGGACGCGCTCCGCGCCCCCACCCGTACCCACCCGGGACGGGGGAATCCCGTACCGCATGGGAAGCGCACCCACCCTGAACACTCCAGAAGCACGATCCAAGGACCGCTCACCCACGCCTCCTTCCCCAGCAGCCGCGGGCCCGCGCGGGCAGACCCGAGCGCTCTCCCCAACACGCGTGGGGAGCCCACGCGCGCCGTCTCCACCCCACCCCCCCCGCTCCTTCCCGCGGCGCCTACCGTCGATGTCGCCCAGGGTGAGCTCGTCGCCCAGCTCAGTCAGGGTGTCCATGCTCTCGGCGGCCAGCTCGCCGCCCTCCATGGCGCAGGGCCCGCCGCCGCCCCGGGCGCTCAGGCAGAGGCGGCTGTCGCTGCCGGCGGGCGCCGCCGACCCCGCGCCATCTTGGGCCGGCCCGCGGCCCCGCCCCCGCGGCCCCGGCGCGCGCGCCCCCCGCGGTTTGTTGTCAATGAGACCAGGTCGCCCCCGGCCAATGGGCGGCCGCGGCGGCGCGTGGTGTGATGGCGCGTCAGCGATCAGCAGCTGCCATTAGCATAGCCCGCCCCGCCCCCGCTCCCCGAATATTCATGAGGGGGCGGCACCGCCACCGCCCACGGGAAACGCGGCCGGGGCACGGCTCGCGCCCCGGGATGCACGGCGGAAAGGCCAGCTGCACGGCGGTGGAGAGCGCACGGGGTTTGTCCTTCCCTCCGCGGCGCCCACGGACCCTCACCTCCTGAGGGGCCGCCTCGACGCTCTCTGGCGCACACCCGCTCCCGCCAGCAACGGGAGCAAGAGCCAGGAATCTTCTACTTAAAAAAAAAAATAATAAAGTCAATTTTATTCAAGAACAACCAAATGCGCCCATTGCCATCCCCTCCCCCCACTGGAGGGACTTGGCTCTGCTGTTAAAAAATTCGGGACGTTTCCCTTTCCTCAAAGGCTGCGATGCCGCCAGCCCGGCACGGAGCACCCGCTCCTGGGGAAGGTCCCTCTGCAAAAGCCTGCTCTGGTTCGAGGCCATCAGCACAGGGGAGAGGAATCACAGGGTGGCCGTGCCGGGTACTGGGGCCAACCCCTCACCTCTGCCCCCACGGCAGCCCAGACACCCGGTGGAGGGTCGCAGCCACTCGGTTGGGTCCCTCCCTACTCTGGCCCTGCTATCACCACATGCCCTCATCTGGCTGTCCCCTGACAAGGGGCTTCGGGAACTCATTTAGAGAGGACGAGCCCCAGAGAGAAGGGACGGGGCATGGGCTGCACGACAGGCTCTCAGGGGTTCAGGGCTGGTTCCCCAGCATCTTCAGCATCAGCACTGCTTGCACTACAGCCGCCCACTGGCTCCAAAGAGGCCAAGTACCGAAATTCCTCCTGTCCAAAAATTCACCGGGCATTTGCCTCTCTGTGGGAACGACCTGCGGTGGCCACGGGTTGCCATCGGCCAGGAACAGCTGCCATCGGCATTTTCAACTACGTCTGGACAATGAAACGCGTGTTGCTCGGTAAAACAGCCGCTGGGAAAAGGGGAGGTCTGATCTGGCAGAGGTAGCAGCTGTGCAGAAACCAGGTAGAGCCCAGTGGGGGGTGCCAATGAGATCACCCGTTTAACAAAACGAAAAGCAAAACTGAGAGAAGCAGCATTGCTCATGAGGCTGTTTGGTGTGACGCACTCCCCAGCCCACCCGTGCTGGAGAAGGCACGTTCAGCATTGGGTGTGCTGCAGTGAAGAGGGATCCCTGGGCTCTACCAGAGGCATGTCCCCACACCTTACTTCCCCACAGGCAGCAACATCCTGAACAGCGGATGGCCCTGGTGCTGTCATGTCTGTGCTTTACCTCTGTGGAAAGGGTATCCCAATTTAGCCCCTTTGGGGCAACCCACCAGCACCACCACCCAACCTCCACTGAACAAAAACTAAAGGCAACAAAACAAAAACCACAGCACAAATGGAAAGGGAATGGCCAGGCACCGGCCCAAGGCTGCTGAGAAGGGAGCAAGCCACTCTGTGTCCCAGTGGTGTCACCCCCACTGCAAGGCACCAAGTCCCAGCATGCTACAGCTCCGACTGTGAGCGGGAGATGCGTGGGCCCTTGCGGATCTCCTTCCGCTTCTCTTCCTTCTTCCTCCTCTTCTCTTCATCCCGCAGCGCCTTCTGAAAGGTGTCAGCACTGGGGAAAAACTGTGGGTTGACAGCAAGGGGTCAGCATGAGCCTCTCAGAGGCACAACCCCTCCAAACCCACCAAAGCCAACGCACAAGCCTCACAGTCCAGGGAGCTTTGAGCACAGATGCAGCAGGAGGCAGAGTGTTGACCACAAGGCAGGTAGCCACAGAAGGGAAGAGAGGGCACCAGGTGCCCAAAGTAGACCACAGATGGGGAATTCAGTGTTTGTGTTTCAGACATGCCTACTTAGTGACAGGGGCTTTTGGCCATTTCCCACAAGCCACCCATTCCATTCCCCAGCCAGCTGCCTGGAGCTGCAACATGGATGGGGAAGCCCATGAGGCAAGCTGGCAGCATTGCCATCTTACCTCTGACTGGTCCGTTTTAAAGGGATTGCGGTAATCGGGAGATTTCTCACTGATTCCTAGCTCCTGAGCCATCTGCAGAGCAAAGGAGAGACCTCACTGGGGAGTGGTGCCTCCCACTCGCATCCCCCAACTGTGTGACCAGGGTCCCCTGCTCTCCCACCAGTCCCATCTACGCTCTCTACTCTTCCCCCATCCCTCAGCTCAAGGACAGTCCCCAGACACGGGGGACCCTGCCTTCCTTTTACACCAAAACCCTCACCTCCCCCAGCCTAGCAGCGGAGGGGTCATGGCAGGGGGGACAAAGAGCCATACCAGCCGCAGGACCTGGGAGTGGGGTCCCTGCTCGAACACACCCGTCAGGTTGCAGAAACCGATGCCCCAGCGGATGAGGCTGTTCCAGTTGGAGTTGCGGTCAAAGTAGTGGTGCACAATCTTGGGGAAGCGCAGAACGACGTCTCCGAAGAAAGCAGTGTTCTCTACCACGTGGGAATATGCTGTGGGGACAGCCACCAGCCCCGTCAGCACAGGCTGAGGGCAAACAAATAGAGTCCCCACTATGAACTAGTCAGAGGGGAAGCAATAGGGTTCCCCAACAGACAGGGAGCAGCCCAGCTCTGGTCTGGATACACAGGGGTTTTGTACCTACCCCAGCACTGATCCCAGAAGAATATCTGTGGTGCGCCAGAGCACCAGAAAAAGGAAGGGGGTAAAAACCAGAGAGGACCTACCATCCTTTATCTTCTCATCCTGAGGGAAGGGCCCATCAGGAGGCACATCAGCAGCGATGAGCACAGCACGGGAGTCCTCCAGCACCTGCCAGAGCCCTTGGTTACCGCCCTGTCCTGCACCCTGGAGGTGCTGCTACAGCTGCCCCACTTTGAAACCCCATGGCATCCTTCCTTCAGGTCCTAAAGCTCACCTGCCACACCCTCCACAGAAGCCCCCAGCCCTTCTAATTTCTGCCCACCCTTGTGGGCTGAGAGTGCAGCCTGCACTGTGGCTTACTTTGAAGAGTCCTTTGAGCATGATGTCAATGATTTTGTACTGCTGGTTGACGTCATTGAGCTCAATCAAGTTCTTCAGAGCATTCATCTGGTCCTTGCGCTTCACCTCAAACAGCTTCTTATCTGTACCACTGTCAAGGGCACTGTCGATACTCTCCCACCACACTGCTGCTCCTCGCCCTCCACCGAGCCCCTGTCACCATCCCAGCTCCCCTAGTTCTCCATGCGGTGTCTGAGGGGAAGCACCTGACCCAGGATGGAACACAGATTTCCAGTGAACCCTTTGCCCAAACACCCCAGCAGGGCCCTTAACAACGCTGAGAGCTTGTGGGGTACTTTCTACTTGCCAGTCCATATTCTGGCTGATGTTCTGGCTGCTGGGCTGGAGAGGAACATGAACTGCCACCTTCCCCAGGTGTCTCCACATTCTCATTATCTTTGCATACTTTGCCTGTTCACACGGGGTTACTGCTGTGGGCTAAGAAAGGCTTGCATTAGCCCACCTCCTCATGGGCAAAAAGTGCCTGTGGCACAGAGGAGACCAAGTGCCACAAGCCCAGGAGTCCTCTTCCACCATCCCAGTTGGTGACTGCAAAGCACTGAGACGTGGAGGTATGCTTTGCCTTCTGGCTGGCAATGCCCATTCCAACAGCAGACTGGGAAATATGCTCAGTGTCCAGCACAATGGAGCAGAAGGAACACCAGGCATCACTGCCATTTCTGCTCCTACACCAAGCCAGGCATTTGGTTAGCAAACCTAGCAGCTTGGCTAAAGCCCATCTGCAGAAGGACAAAGCAGCAACTTCCCAGTGCTTCTGGATCCTCTCTTTACCACTTCCTTGTGCCCCTTTCCATCGTCTCTGACCCTTTCCCTGTGCATGCACTCCGTCCAGCCTCCATAGCCATTAGTGCATACGTGCTCACGAGGGGCAGGCTGAAGAGGATACAGATTTCCAAGCCAGAGTCTACTCTCCGTTTCTCCAGGTCTGTGAAGCTGCCCTGGGAAAGCAGCAATGCCAGTAGAAACGGGCAGATGATGAGAAAATCCATGTTGGCCTCTGCAGCCTGGAAGAAAACAGACCAACAAAACCAATGATCAGTGAGGAGACTTACCAGAAGTCACACAATGACAGGGACCGATGAAACACTGACCACCTCTCCCTTGTCCCCATGAGGGGTCTGAGGGACACAGTGGCCAGAGTAGGGCTACATGGTGATGCTGCAGCCAGCCTGCTCTCCCCTGTAAGTGAAGCCCTGGTCTCCCTCTTCTCTCTACCTGCCTGCACTGCCAGCCCCCAGGCATCTGACCCAGCATTGACCCGGCAGAAAAATTAAGTTCTACTGCTTCTTCCAAAAATAACAGCTAGCTTTTTTTCTGGGTTTGCGAGGCAGAACAGCCTTGAGTCCTCTTGCTCTCTTGAGTCTTTTTGCCTGCCCAGCCAAACCTGTCTCTGTAACGCCATAACACTGAAACAAAACCAAATCCCTTCTTGTTTTTTTCTTGCTGCTTTTCTTTTTTAAACAAATATAATTTCTTCAACTCCAAGCCCATGAAAGACGCAAGCACCAGCAGCTCTCCCAGCCCTGCAAGGATCAGCATGCACCTCCTGCCGAAGCCAAGCCAAGCATCTTCACACCCCTGGCAAAGGCAGGGGAACAGTGTCAGACAAACATGGGAAACCCTCTGAAATATTTTGCTGTTTTGCTTTGTAAAAGGCAACACCCCTGGAAAGGAACAGACCAGAGTAAATACAACCAGAATTATTGAAGAAGACCTGGCCACCTCTGGTGTGGGCTCAGTAACATGCCCCATGTTTCTGACACGGTGCAGAGCCAGGAGAGCAGCACAAATCCCCATTCCAGGCTTGGGATCTGTCCCCTCTTCCCAATGTGGTGTGAGGCTTAAGCCATTTTCCAGCCATCCTGAATGCCACAAAGCACACCAACAAGCCAAGGCTGTAAGGAAAATCCTCCAGCCCAGGCAAACAGATGTTCTGTTGACCAGCCTGGTCAGCTTTCAAGAGACTGCTTCACCCTGCCAAAAGCCATGACCAAGGACCCAGGGCCTGGCTCAGTGAGATGGCACAGGTCTCTCCTCTGAAGAGCCCCCCACAGCTGCTCTCTACCTCCCAAGCTCTCGGGGAGGAAGTGCAGCAATGCAAAAGCACAAAGAGTGACTGCCCTGAGGACCCAGACTCCTGTTTGCCCCTCAGATCAGACACACCATCATAAGGACTAGGCTGGCTATTTGCCATGCTCATGGAGAACTGGAAAGAGGTAGCCAGTGGCCTCCAGACCAGGCTGGAAGGCAAAGAGCAGAAATGCTGCCCACAACAGCTCTGCATGCTGCCTGTGGCAGTCCCAGCATGCCTGGTTAGGTCAGCAGCTGCTGTATTCCGTATTTCCAACATTGGAGTTGGGTAGCCAGAGGATGTTCCACAGGTGCTACAAGGGGAAAGATGAGCTGCAAAAAGCCCTGTTCAAGGCAGCAGCAGAGCAAAGCACAGCTCTTGGCTGAACCAGCTACTGACCAGCCAGTTGCTGCAGCACAAGGTCCACCAGCCTGGCTGGCTGGCTGTTTCTGAGTCTCGGAACAGTGATGACCTTCTTCAGAGACACAACAGCAGATGCTGGGGTAGAGATGGTCAATGTTTCCAATGAAAATGTATTCAGATTCTCCTACACCAGCCCTAAAGATTGTCCCATGGGACAAGGTCAGAAGTAGAGGACTGGAGAACCATGCCACACTGGAAGCCCATCACCTTTTCATCTGATCTGCTGGCACTCGTTCTCACATCAAAGCTATTTATTTGCCATTGTCCATCAGGGCTAAAACATGCCGTGAAAATGAAGCAGGGCCCAGTTGTTTCTCTCACCCATAGGGAACCTGGGACTGCTGATGCCATGTGGGACCACCTAGATTTATTTCCTTTCACTGCCCTGGCAATTTCACCCCATTTTAACAGCAGAGAACATTCGTTCCTCTCCAGGCCACACTATGTAATGGCAGAGATATTAAAGCTCCTTGCAGATGTTCCTCCATCATTTCTCCACAAACTCTCTCTTGTGTCTTCACACCCGCTGAGGGATGAGACAGAAATACTGCAGACCTGCTCCTCTCTTCCCTTCCTGCTCCTCCCTGAATTGATTTCTGCCAAAGACAGCTCTGCCTGATGCTCCCAGAGCAGTCCAGGGAGCCAGGGCTTGGCCTGATGCTACAGATGGAAAGGAGTTTCCACCAACACTGCCTTGCAGCCCTGGCCAGCTGGCTGTTTCAGCAGCAAGCCCACCAGTCTGTCTCACTGTCTCCCAGCCTCTTAATTTAGATGTGTTTTTCCAAAGACATGACAACACAGATGCCATGTAATACATGGTTAGTACTTCCCATTAAAACGTTTTCAATTACTTTATAAATTTTCCTGCAGGAGCCCCATCTGAATCAAGCATCCCTGAGATTTATTCACTTAATGAGTTCGCAAGGCAGAGCCATGCTGCAATGCTTCGGTTCCCAGAAGAAATGTTTGCATGACCCCCCCCCGCTACTTCCCCTCTACAGGTTCTGAAATATAGGGGGAAAAGCATCATCCTTCACCAGGAGCATGCTGTGGCAAAACAAGGAATGAAAACTCTCTGCCCCATGAATCCATTCCCGAGGCGATCCTCCAACAACCAGATACGGATTAATCCCCTCGTACATGTGAACCAAAAGCTTCAGAAGTGAAACACCGCTGCTCAGACTCCTCTAGGAGAACATATCGATATGGGGCTTACACGACGAGCTGCTTCACTTGAAACAGCACTGGCCATTTACACCTGCTCGTCTCCAAAGTCTCCCAACCACCAAACCCAGAAGCTCGCGTACCACAAGGTTTGGGAGCCTCGATTTCCTGCTGTGATTTCCAGCAGGAATCGATCCATCCCAGCCCACCTTCGTTCCTCCCGTCGTGTCGGAGGGGTTCAAGAGGCACCCTGAGGAGCTCTGGCGGCCGCTGGTACGGGGAGATGGGGATTCTCCCGCAAGCCGAAAGTAAAGGCAATCACACAAGGACGGTGGAATGCAAGGGGATTTAGCTGAGCCTACCCCGGCCCCGCTGCGGGAAACCCACCCGGAGCCGTGTAAAGTGGCCGTAGCAGGCGGCACACGGGAGGGTGCGAACCCTCGGGGGGACGGCAGCTCCCAGGAGCCGCGGCGTTCCGCTCCTCCCGCGGCTCCAGCGCGGGGCGAGGAGCGGGGCGAGCAGGCGGCGATGGCAGGCAGAGCCCGTCGGGCTCAGCCCTTTAACCCAGGGGGCCGCACTGCCCGCCCCGCTCATCGGCCACCCCCGCTGCCCGGGACGGAGGGCCCCTCCTGGGTCTCGCTCGGGGAGCACCAGCCACCTCCGGCCCGTCCCCCGGAGCGGCCCCAGGGCTGCTCCCACCCTTCCCTCCTGCCCCGCCACGACCGAGCAGCTCCCCTCGGCGCCGCTGGGCCTCTCGGGGCGGGGATGGCCCCGGGCGGCGCGGGCGGTCCCCACCTGCGGGCCGGGTGCCGGGTACCGAGTGCCGGGTGCCGAGGCCGGCGCTCACGCCCGCCGCGCTGCCATGCTGCTGCTGCTGCTGCCGCCGCTGCTGCCGCCGCCGCTCCGCCGCTCCGCCCCGCCGTGTCACTTCCTGAGCCCCCGCCCCGCCCCAGCACCGGCACCTGCCACGCACCGGCGACCACTTAGAGGTTCTGGAAGCAACGGGACAGGGGGGGCTGGGGCTGCAGTCGAAGGAGTCACTCGTGATCTGGAAGAAGCCTCCTCATCCCCGTGGACACGGAGCGTATCTGCTTGCTCCGCGGCCCCTTCCAGCCCAGAGCAAAGGGACCATCCCGTAGCCCCATCAGCCAAGGCGGGTGAGCAGAGCACCTCTTCCACAGCATCCCTGTACGACGTCGTTTCCCCAGGCAGACCTGTATTCTGATAGATGAAGGGCATCAACCAAGCCTTATCCCGCACAGAAGGGAAACTGAGCCGTTTCATTAACAGAACTTTTTAATTTCAACGAACTTTTTTCTCAAAATGAGCAACAAGGGACTTCCTTTGTCCATTTTCTCCCTACTACTCACTGGCAATGAATGGAAGGATGGGATCTCCTGCTACATTCTTGCTTTATTCCTCTGCTCTGCGCACTGTATCGTCTCATTTCAATCTCTGATGTGTGAGAGGGACACTGCCACGCTTCCCAGACATCTACCATTGACAGCATGAGCGGAAAACAAAGGAAAGGCATGCATCCTATGGAATTCCCACATCTGACATATCACTGACAGGAGGTTTTCATTACTAAACCAACCCTTCCCAAGCCATGGAACCTGACTCCCAACATATTTGAGAAACCTCAGTGTAGGTAAACCTGAAGAAAAGTCAAAACTCTATTGTGACCAGAGGATTTTGTCTTCCATGTCCATGACTATCTTATTCACGTAGCCCCACTGCTGCACTTCAAGTGCATCTAAGATCCTTTCTAACCACCAAGATTTGAAGGTTTCTTAATACATGCAAAAAGTCAGAAATGAAAAGTAACTTCAGCAATGTAACAAAACCTCCCATCCAAATTCCTTCATCCCTGTACAGAGAAACAAAATGGAGTGGAGCTCGATGGCCTCTACCAGGACAACTTGCCCTCTCAGTGTCCCATAACGGAGCAGTAATATAACACTGGGGTAAGCATGAGGACAAGCTACTCCTCACAGGATAAACACCTCACCCACCATGTACCCTACACACGGCTGATGACAGTGGCCCACAAGTGAAGGAAGTGCCCACACCCACAGGAAATTGCTGCCATGGCCACTTCCATCACTGCTACATGTTTGAGGCAATGCAGCGTCATGAAAACAGGAAGGCAAAAAAAAGTTTGAGAAAAAAACAAATACTGCATGTTCCCTCTTTCTCCACAAGGCATCTAGTAGTGGCCCCTGCCTCCATCGCCAGAGAAGAGGATTTAGTTCACAGATGTAGACTCTAGGCCTGAACAGAATAAAATCTGGTAACTCTACTCAGTGGTTCCCAAATGCTCTCTGCATTTTGAAAGTGCCCGAGTCATATTTGGGTTTCCACTACTTCATGGGCATACTGGCACTAGATGGCATGCAAACAGAGATTAACTCATCGCTCATCCTCCAGGGAAATCAATACAGGGATTGTCACTGCTTTGAAGCCAGAGACTCACAAGCCTCCTTCCCTTTCATCAGATCACCTCTGCTTTATAGATGAATGCAAACCTAGCACACAGACCCATCTTTAATCCCAATTGTCTCTTCATTTCCAAAATGTTTTCTCAGATTAGGACATGATGAAGTCTTTCATCCCAAAATTAGCCAAGTGTAGAAACCACTCAGAGTTTTTCAGTTTTGTTTGCCTTCAGCTGGAACAAGAGAAGAAGCATTAGATTAAGTATCTGCTCTACCTGTGTTACACCTGTCACACACATCAGCCATCCAAGGATACACAATGTCCTGATGCTTTACACACGTGGTCCTCTGTCCCAAGAGGCGATCCAGCAAAGTCTGAATGATCTCTGACTGCTCTGGCTCCACATGGTAATGACTGCTCTGAATCTGAGGCATCAGAAAAAAGAATTATTTCCAGAGTAATATAAAACTGTTGGACTTGTCCCTTCATACTCCCTCCCTCATCTCCACACAGAGCAATGAGATCTTCAAAGGCCAAAGGAAACACCTGGGTATTCCCTTCCCATTTTCCAGTCACTGCTCTCTTACCTGAGAAAGGAAGAGGTGAAGAGCACAAGATGTGGCCTCGGACAGCTCTGCTATGTTGGCTTCTGCTGCCTCCTGAATAATCTGGCTAATTTCTTTTTGAGAAATAATATTGCTGCTCTGATATCTCACAAACTTGAACAAAGGAAAAAATAGAGCCATTAAATAGTGGAAGACCCACAGAGTGCAACAGTGACTCATCACTTGCAAAGACCTCTTCTATGTATACCATTACTGCAGCACCTCTAACCACAGACCTGATTTTTATACCACTTCTAATGGAACCAGTGCAAGTATCTATGTTGATGGTGCTCTGATTTATAGCCAGACTTATTTTGGTTTAAGCTGGGAAGAAACTAAAATAAATGAGGTAACCTTTTAAAACTGAAATAAGAACAGCAAATACTCACAGATCCATCTTATATTTGGATGGTGAAGGTTCACTTTAATAACCCCTTCTTCTCATTCACTGCCACTATATCTTTAGTATTTCTGCTGGGTAGGACTACATTCCCTCTCTAGCCCACAGACCCCACGTAGAGCAGAGTAGTATATTGCACTAACTCCCTGCCCTGAAAAGTCAGGTCTGTGCAGTTGAGACAGGAGACAAGCTGCGATGCCAAGCAGCCAGCTTGATCTCTGACTGATAACAGCAGTTGCATGTCCTCTGCAAGTTTCCCCCTCTCCTTCCCAGGGGTCCTAGATGATATAAATAAATGTTCCCAACACCAGAAGAACAGGAGGTGCTCACTGACCACAGTCAGTTTCTGCAGGGTGCAGAAGTTCGCTTGAAAGTATCATTATCAATACAGGCCACGAATATAGTCCCAGACAAAGCCACAGCAGTATCAGAACTCTGTTGCATAGCAGTTTAAGTACCAACAACCAGCCCATGTGCATTGTATCAACATACTAGGAAAGATGGGGAACAGCCCACCCGTCTTCTGCTCACCAAAGTCATCAGCCTGAGAACTTCTGGCTGCAGAAAGGACTTCTGGCCCCCACTGAGTAGTGTGAAGAGCAGGAATCGGTGCCATGGCTGTGAAGCAACGTGTAGAGCTGGGAGAGAAGGAGAAGTCAATCAAAGAGAGCTGTAAAACTGACCAAGTGACAGGCTGAACCCAGCTAAGGACAGTCTTCAATACTGACCCCAAATTTTCTCTCCTAAACCCCATGCCGTGAAACACTAAGGGGATATTTTGCACTGTTCTTACTTGCTTTTTAATCTGTCACTCTCTGGACAAGAGTTCAGTCAAGAGGACAAAAGCTTAATAGCTTTTCAAAGCAGAAAATACATATTGTCCATCATTGTGCTGGTACAAGAAGAGAAACCTTCCCCTGGGGTGCATGTCATAAAACAGTGAAGGAATATCTTTAGCCTGGGGTTTTAAAAATAATACCCTCCAGTTTCAGTATGAGGACAACTCTCCTGACCTCAGTTTTTATTTAGCTGCAGAATACCCTTTGGGTAATGAAGAAAGCCCTATAACAGAAGCTGAACACACTGAGCCTGGATCTGCATCAGATAACAGACTATGGGGACCAGCCAGGCTGATGGTGGCAATGTAGTCAGTAGAGAAAATGTTCTTACTAAAGAACATACACAATAACATATATTAGGTAAGGCCATAAGTCTGTGATGGCATGAAGTCTTTCACTGAATGCTGAAATTAAAATGTTATTACCTTGTATTTTTTACAGGTTAGGAGCATGGGATGGACAAATAGATGAGCTGATATAACTTGTTATACTGTAGCAACTCACCAGAGTGTTAAAAAGGTCTCTTTTCCACTGGCAGTCACGTAACCTCCCTATTGCCATTACAAAAATCTTTTCTATAGGAAAACAACACTGAAAAATAATGTAAAATATTTGGGAGATATCTTTCGTCTGGGGAAAATGAGAAAGTACCAGCACTGTGCATGAGCCTGCTCTACACATTTGGAAATATCTCTGGAGCAAAAGAGGGTTTTAGAAAGCCTCAATGAGTCAACTCCTAGAAGCAGAGTCCAGGACACTCTTTCCAGCGTTCTTGCATCTTTCAGCCAAATACAGCTATGACCCTCATTCTGCTTGGAATAAGGAGACTCTTGTTATTGCTGTTATGAACTTCAGCAGCCAAAGTGACAGGTTCAGCTGTTGCTGCAGCAGCATTTCATTAGTTTAATCCCAAATCAGCAGAGCCTCCCCATAACTTTATTTTTTTCTTAATTCGGCCTTTAAATAGCCTCCCTTCAGCTACTGTCTGTCATTCATCTGCAGTATTATATCTTTATCCAACCACTTCCTCTCTCCTGCCGGTGTCCCTTTTGCTGGGTGTTCATTCACTCCATTCCCTTCTCTATTAGTGTTTAAACAACTGAAGTGAACAGGTCAGCGTACAGAGAACTTTCTGGTTTAAGAACAGAGCCAGCATCTGGACTTGATGGCAGGAGGCTGCCAATAAGCAGAAGGATCTATTCTTCCCCCCCAGTTGTACAACGCAGTCATATTATGTTATACTGAAAACATTGTATATGTTAGGTCTGGCATGCGCTCTGGAAACCAAGGTTGGAATTCACGCCCAGAAATCCAGAATTTCCATCTTCCATTCCCTAAGGCTGACTAGTACTCTGTTCTCCCTTGCCTTCCTTCAGAGCCAAATTGTGACCAACAGTGTTCTTTTGTAAGACACATCATGTTCAGATCCTCCCTCCCATACGTTTATGATCTAAAGGTTTGATACAATTGGCTTGAAAGTCAAAGACTATTCCTATACTCCTTCTATTCCTAAACTTTTCCCTCTTACAGGGTTGGAGAACTACTTTTTACCTTCTGGAAAGCATCTTGGTGTCCTGAGCCAAAGTGAAGGTTCACGCCTGAAGGGGAGCCAGGCACTGTGATCTCATCCCACAAAGCACAATATTAACTTTAGGCACACCAAAAAAATTTCTTATTTGGCATAAACTCATTATGCATTTTCTCCAGAGTGCTACTGGATAGAGAACAAACAGCTCAAAATCAGTGCAGGAGAGGAACTAGGAGAAGAAAGAACATGAAGACTTTACCAACATCATGGTTCTTCACATACAGGTATTCCACTAAGGTTTCTAGGCAGGCAACCACTGCCTGAGAGAGCAGCAAGTCTTTCTGGAATATCAAGAAAAAAAACCAAAAAACAATCAACAGCTATTGCAAGAGGAAAATTTATAAAGTGCCAAGATCAGATGAGTATGCAGCACAGGAAAATAACACCTTTCATCTCCTTCAAGGGATGCAATGTGCTGCAAATTATCTGTCACATCAAGGAGCCAGACAGAGGTACGGCTGCTTATTTTGAGACTAAAAAATAATAAGTAACAGCCTCCAAAGAATAAAGATAGGAGCCCAACATAGCTTAAGAGTTAAATGTAAACTGATGTACTACCCCTGGAGCCCAGCATCACTTGAGCAAATTATATGTACGCTCATGCACTTACTACCCCCAAAAGCACCTTGCCAGGGGCATGGGGGATGGACTGGAATTTGTTATACTTTTCCCACATCTGTCCCTATGGATGTGGCATCCCTGCAGAGAAAGAGATGGGAAGACAGAAATCGTCATCAGTACCCAGAATTTCAGCTACCCAGTTCAACAGCAGGGAGCACCGCATAGCTTGATTTACCTTCTTTCTCACTGCACTGTACTGCAGCAAGAGCATTTTCCCTCCTCCTCATCACACGTCTCTGTAAGGGTGGAAAATGCAGGCAGGAGAAAAAACAAACAGGCAGCCTCTTTGATTCTGCAACAGCGTGGTTTCTCCTCAGGTTAATGTTCCTGCTTGATGCCCAACACTACTGTTGTTCCAAGAGTCCTGTTTTATATACCTGCAACTGGACGTGCACCAGAAGGTTCTGCAGACTGACAACAAGCGAGAAGACCTGCTGCATGGCAAGGGGATGCAAGGCAGTGTCCTGCAGTGATGATGGCTGTGGTTGAGTAGCACCTGGGGCTTTGTTTTGGCCAACAATCACCAGCAGGGAGGAGGAGAAGTTCTGTCGCAGGACAGCTCTCAGGAACTGCATGATGCTCACTAGATAGGGAGATGCTTATTAGTGTATGTCAGTGTTTTTCTCTGCTCTACCCTGTGTGTTAGTGCCTGTGCAAAAGCATAGGAGAGGGTGACAAGAGAAAATGTGAGCTTAATAGCCCACCAGAGTTGTCTGGCAGCTGCTGACAGCTATAGACAGGAATGGCAACATGAGTTTCTTTGTTCATCTCCTTCTTTGAGACACTAACACAGTTCACACTCAGTTCCAGATGTCACTACCAACCTTCAAGGAAGATCTGCCGAAACACAGAAGAACTTTAGACAGTTCCTTTTCACCCTTTCTCACCACCAGTTACACATTTACAAAGTTAAATGGACCACAGTTTCCAGATTCCCTCCAGCACCCCCACCAATCCATTCCATAGTCACCAGTTTTCCCTTGTTGTTTGTATCATGGTACTAGTGGCTGCTTCCAGACAAATCCTCCCTACAGATGCAAAATACCTAATAGCAGGATTGGCTTCTTATTCCTGAAGATGACTGCATTCAGGACTTCTGTAAGGTCTACAGAGAGTGTCTGGTGAACCTAGAAGAGAATTAAATAGAAGAGAAGAAGTGGTGCTGGTTTGGAGCAGATAGAAAGCTCCATTATATACTTCTAGTTCTTAGACACTACCCCATGGTGACCACTGAAAACCAAGGGAACAGCAACAGGGTTTCAGGAGGCTGACACAGAAGGGAGAGTTACATCATTGGACCCTCACGTTTCACTAACCACTGCTTCCCTGAGCTGCACAGCTTCCAAACCACAATCTACCTTGTCTATCTTGTTCTCACTACTACCTGCAGGACCTCTAGCATGTGGCTGTCAGCCTGCCAAGCACATGAAGTGGCAGGAACAGCCACCACCAAACATGGCTTTACCTTAGCCATAGAGCCAGGCAGCAAGACTGAGGAGCCAGGCAGCCAAAAACCAGCAGTGGCTAGAAGTTGTCCTTCCCTGCAGGAGCTGGGGCCCACTGAGAGCCCAGGGATAGGAACTACTGCATGGGTCAAAGAAGCAGAGGAGTTTAGGGACTTGGCAGCTAGGTGAAACAAGAAAGGTCAGCTTGAGAGGGAAATCTGCAATACATTGTTTCCTTCACAGAAAAGCCATTCAAAAGCAAGGGCATGAAGCCTCAGAGAACACTAGAAGGGTTCAAACTCTTCAATAAGCCAGAAAGCTGATATGGGAAGGCAGGCATAAGGATCCCATGGCTGATTCCCTTAAATACTCTTCTGAAGAGAGAAATACTCCACAGGAGAACTAGGAGTAGCTCCTGCAACATGGTGGCAGTGGCACCCATTTTAGAACTGACAAGCCAGCCTTTAATAGCCTACCATCCATAAGCCCTGTTTATTCACAGGGTAAAGCCAGCAGCATTAACACAGTTAAGATGTAAGTTAGCTATGGCCAGACAAGTCCCCACTATTAACATCAGCCTGAGATGAATGTGGCCATTTCTTGAAGCCATTGTTCTTCTCTAAAAAAACTGCAGGCTCAGGGAGACAGTCTGTCATCAGCTCACATTCACAGCCAAAAAGGTGCTCTTAGGAGAGTCTCCAGGATGCTTTGTGCAGCTCCCGCTACACTGAACAGCAGAAAGAAGCAAGTGACTCTTCGTCTTCTTCCCCTTCAGCAGATTAGAAACACTGACACTTAGAAATGCCAAAGCTTAGAAACACTGAAGCAGTCTTGAACCGTTTCCATTTCCCAGCTGTATCTGTAGTTTCTTTCCTCATCTCTGATGCAAAAACATTTCTGGGTTGTATATCATAGCACATCAAGCCAGTGGTATTGATAAAACCAAGCAACAGGCTTATAAGCTGCTAAATGATTGCACTTCAAGGATCAATACGAGCTGAGAGCATCACTCCCAGAAGATGAAGCTCAACACTTGACACTTGACACTAGAATGTCGTTTGGGACTGGCACAACACCAGACACAGCCCTGACTTGAAAAATGAGAAGGCAGGCTGTACTTAGCAGCTCGCAGAGCAGGGTCAGGCTGCATTCCCTCAGCTGACAAGTACCATGCTCTAAGCCCTAAGCAGAGGCTGCATGCTGATGAAGTAATGGGCACAGACTTTGTCTGGGCTGGTCTTCTGGAAAATATCTTCCCTCAGAAATCCAATCCTTGACTTTCTGTGCACATGCATGCATATCCTTAATGTGATTTTATCATGTGCAAACAGGTGTACCAGCTCCCAAAGAGCATACTCTGCTGGGCATAACTGCAAGAGCAGAGCTCACAATTCACGACATGCTCTCTAATTCCATATCAGGAGATGTCTGGCTAGATAGAGATAGTTCAAATGGAAACATTTTCCCATGTATTGTCATTGGAAAGTGCTTACTTCAAAGCTGTAATTCCATTATTAGCTGACAACTCCAGCTTAGATGTCTCGTTGATCAGCAAAGCATCAAATACAATGAATACTGCCCACATGCATAAGAGCTTGCTAATATTGAACATTTTCTTGCCAATAATAGGTTGTATTTCACTATTGATCATTTTAGTAACAAAAAAGCAGTTTACAACATGGGACCTGTCCCTTCCACCCCAAGTCTTCCCTTGAGAAAGGTTTTAAAATTTATTTTGCTCTGTCCTGAAGGGCAAAGTGATTTAGATCAGGAAGGCTGGGTATGCATTTCTCCCCGCAGGATTTGTTCCCTTCTTTAACTCTTCAATCATTCGTGTCTCAGACCTTCAGTGACATGCTAGCTTCCAGTCCTGCTGGAGAGGTGCAGCAGGGAATAACTCACGGACAATAACAAAAGAGAAATTGATGCAATCAGATTATAGGCCAAAGCAGAACACTTTCATATATATATATATAGATATATATATATAGATATAGAGTGGTTCTGACCTCAGTATTGTAGCGATGCTGAATAAGCAAAAAGGATGCCACCAACAGCCATCCAGAGCACAGCAAGGCATCCTCAGATGACAGGTGGGCAGGTCTGGAAGGAGGGGACCATAGCCAGGTGCATTCCAAAACCTTCTGCAGGAGTTCTAGCAAGGACACGTTGGAGAGCAGCACAGCCACTGCTGCACAGGAGAAACATAATCAGAGAGGGTGATGGGATGGCACAGCTTAAACCAGCTTGACAAGCATAAGAGAAGTGCAGAGCACACCCCTGCTGCAGTCAGGTAGCCCACCTGCCACAGCTCATCTGAGTAAGGCTGTCCAGCTACTGGTATTCATCTCCCAGAGCACAAGCAACTGCTCAGTCAGTTAATCAGCTAACAACACAGTAGGAAAGTCAGTTAGAGCTGTTCCCTAATATTGTTTAATTTTTTGAACTATGACAATACCAGGATATTTCAAGCTAGGCATCACAGGCTCACTGCTGTGTTTATGAACAAGAAAAATACGGTGATTCTGTCTTTCAAGCAGCCAATTCTTGAATCATCAGAAGGCAGCAAAACCAAACCAAACTCCTTAACCTAAAAAACCTCATCCAAAGTACGAAATTGTCTTTAATTATAATGCTGTGTCTGGATGGGGAAACATCCACCTTACCTGCTGAACAGTTAGAATACAGTCTCTGATTGTCAAGCAACAACCTCACTGAAATTAACTTAGCAATCAATACAATCTTCCCTCACCTCTCTGTTGACTACAAGGTGTGGTCTGATGAAGGCTCCAGTACAGAAAATTCAAAGATGGCTGCAGGAGGTCAGTGTCCCTTGGGCTGCATTTCCCACAGAGATTACTGACTGGAAACAAAAGAACACGTGTAACAAGGACATCAACTTAACAGAGCACCTCAGCAAATGGAAGAAGTCAGTCAGTGGGGAGGGAATTCAGACAAAGTAAAATAAACAGAGCATGGTACAGACAAAGCAACAGGCATCTGCCCTACAGTGTTTGCTTTAGAATGGACAGTGCAGTGGAGGATGATGGGGAGGGGAAATTGAAAAGGGTATATTAGAGGGCATATATCACATCGGGCAGTAATGAACCCAAGAGCAATGGACTTTAGGTTATCTGTCTCCACAGCAAAAAAAATCTGCAGTGTGACTTATCTGTTTCCACAGTGTGAGTTTGATTCTAGTACTAGAACAAGCATAAACACAGATGTGACTGTCTCCCATGGTGACCAGACTGGGGAAAGCCATGGAGAGCTGTGCCCCTCCACTCTCACCAACTTTCCTCACACTAGGAATAAAACGTCATGTTTGTTGTAAACACTACACACTTAGCAACAAGGTTTAGTTAAGAGTTAGGGAGGGAAATCCAGGACTGCAGGGCTCAGCAAAACTGTCATTGGAGATCTTTTGAAGAGCTTACAATTTGAGTAAGCAATTCTCAATAAACACGCATCAACACGCCCCTTCCATCTAAGAGGCCTCATTAGAGAAGAGTGTCTTGCACATCCACCCCTGGAGAATACAGTCTGGAAGCCAAGGGGGGAATAAATGGGGTGGCTGGGGTAGGGAGAGAGTTGTGTGGAAAAATACAAAGCAGAAAGCAAGAGCAAAAGGAGCTTTTGACTCCTGGGAGAAACTGTGTTCTAAAATCACAGCAGCTAAAAAGGCTGGGAAAAAGAGGCCATGGTTCTTCCACACCCCCAGTTCATTTGGTTAATGAATGTCTGAGAAATGCCACTTCTTTACAAGACAACACAGGCAGCCCTGAGATATGAAACATTTCAAATTGAAGGGGATAGTCCTTCAAAGTCTGCTGGAGAGACTAATTTGTCAAAGCAGGGAAGAGATGAGAGGATGGATCAGCTGAATTTTCTTCCTAGTATCTATTCTTTCTCACAGCCTATATGAACCTCCAATAGCCAAGTAAGAAGGCAGAAGTCACCAGACACCAGAGGATCACCAGACAAGGCAGCAGGTTATGGTACAGTAAAGAAATATAGCCTGCTCTTCTGTCTTTGGGGTGAAGTGGGCAAGCCCTGCAGCTGGGTGAGAGCCATATCCTCTGGATTCACAATCCAAGGAAAGCCCAGTTTCATTAGACTGCTGGTCCCTGATTAACAGGACATGACTGTGGCCTGAACTCCACAAGACTTACAGCAAGGATGGACAGGAAAGGATAATTCAGGAAGCACACCAGCCATGCAGTTATGTGCCAAACCAACAACAGTCACTGACCCTGAAATCATATCGTGGTCAGGGGAATACTTTAGCCACCTTGTGAGGTTTCAGGCAAAAAATGTATTGTAAAAGCAAGAGGACGAGAACCCGGGTTTTGTTAACTGAATAAGTTACCACAACTCTTTACAATGCTCTGACTACAAAAGTATCTCAAAGCAACCATTACTATAATGCAAGGTCAATCTTCTCTCAAAGGACAAAGAGCAAGCCCCTAAACATCTTATGGAGCAATTAACAAACACTTACTTCCCTGGGAGACGATGGATGCATATACTCACCCTGGTGAAGCAGCCTCAAGTCTGTGCTGTCCAGCTCCCTTATGCCCTTGCTCCGCAGCTGCACCAGGAAAAGAAGGCTCAGCAAAACAGGCAGGTTCCTGTTAGCTAAGGAGGGCACAGACAGGTTAGCTTCTTAGTGAACTCCAAACTTTTGTACCTTAAAGTGTGCCAGGAATTGTTAATTTTCTGGCTTCAGAATAAGGACACAAACGCACACAGAGCCCCAACTTTATTCTCATCTCATAGTCCCTTCTGGATCAGGTCCCCTTTCTGCCACTCTGGTTTGGTTACACCTGAGTCCTGTGAACACCATTTTAGGAGCAACTAAAGAAAGGGGAAAAAGAGGCTAGGGTCATTTACACCCATCATGAGCCATGTAGTTCCTCACACTTTGAAAATGATACTGCTAATAAGCTAGAAGTCATTAGCCCTTTCTAGACTGCTCTCTTCCTGCCCACTTGACCATCACTGTCACACTTTTGACAGCAACAGCACAGCAGCTGCACAGCATTTGTTCTCCTCTATCTTGTAAGACTGGAAAAATGCTTTCCATCCCATCTCACAGGGCAGGGCAGAGACAGAAGTGAGAACTTCACACAGCAAGCCTGTATGTAAAGAAAATGGGATTACTAAAACCACCAACCCCCCAGAGAAATCCTCTCCCTACTATTAACTTTTTTTGCAGTGCTGTAAACAGGTAAAAATTTTGTATTGTATGCAGCCACACCTACAGCAAGCAACTATCACCTCCAGTAAACATTTTCACAAAGGTTCATTAGTTTTCAGTTTTGAGGAGGAAACATTTATGGGTGTCTTTAATGTTAACGTACTCCTGATGGAGTGCCACTGTTGAGCATCTTTCTTGTCTAAAAGCAGGCTGTTGTTTGAATAGAGATGCAGATCCCCTGGACTTAACTACCTCAGGCCTCACAGAGAGCTGCCTGTGTGCTGGGAGACAAGGAAGTCTATCTCCAGAGTACATCTGGTGTTTGACTTTCTGCATGGGTTGCCAGGATGTCAGTTAACAAGTTCAAGATACAATATGAAGAAGAGCTACACATATTAGTAGCAGCAGAACGGCTCAAACCTTGCAAAAGCTACTCTAGCTCAGTGTCCTACCTCCATCACCAGTGGTTTGGAGGAATAGGTCTGACTCCCACTATAGGAAATGGATACTTTGCCTCCCCACAGCTCCTGGCATCCCTAGGTCAGTGACAGAGGGACAAGACAAGTCCAAATGTGCACAATTCCAAACAAGATCTGGCAGATCTTGTAGCCTCATGCTCTACCATGCTCCTGCTTTCAATGCCCCTCTTCTCCAGTGTACTGACTTTGCTGGAGGTCAGGCAAAACCACTCCCCTCTTGTTGTCTCCGTCCCAACTGCTGGACAACAAAACACTTGAAACAGAGCAAAGCTGTCAAAAGCATCAGTGGCCCCCTGGAACAAGTAAAAATTGTGCTAAGTCCTTATCCTAAAGGAGCCAAGGACATCCTAGCACTGCTCCCTCTTTCAGTTGAAGATCACAGACTGCTTATCACAGCACCTTTCACAGTGGGACAACCGTTCCAACATCACAGACTGGGTTAGTGGGGAAAACGGATTTTCACCAGTCACAGCCTTGCTCCCTTTGAAAGATTTAACAGAGTTGTAAGATCTGGTGATACCACAATCCCTGTTTGGAGATCAATATAATGAATGATTCAATCCTTGCTCCTGGTCTCTGTGTCCTGGGAACTGTGTATACTTAGGCACACCCAGCTGTTTTGCACAAAGAGGCAAAAAGAAGGATGCCTTTCAGCCACCAATTGGGCCCCCATTAAAGCAGGAACATTTACCAGCATAGCTCTCCATTTGAACACTCACAGCAGTATACAAGAACCTTGCCTTGGTTTAACAATCACAGTTTGAAGCCAGAACAACCTAAATTAGAAAAAAGTCTCTCACTTCAAAATGAATCTCTGAAAAAGGAAACTAAATTAGTACAGTTGTGTCCATAAATTTCCTCATGCAGGTAAGTACTGAAGCTGCATCAGCAGTTCAAAACCACTTTATCCCAGACTGTGTCCCTACAGCTAGTTGTTCTTACATCAAGACCAAGTCACAGAGGTGGGGGTCACCTTGTAGGGTGGCTGAGCTGCTCTCTACCAGCAGCTGCTGCAGAATCTGTAAAAATCGGCTTCGAAGGAGGTCACAGACAAGGACATCCTCATTTCTTTCCAGGAAGGTCCTCAGAGTCATCAACACCTTCCAAGCCACTTCCACGGAGCTTGAGCTGACCAGGTCCTGCAAAGGAACAAACACACACATTACCTTTCCATCGTGAATAGGCAGAAGTCACTGCTATTTAATACCATTATGCTAATCTGGTGCCTTGGGAAACTTGGGAAAAACTGAATAAAGCATCATTTGGATTAAGTATGTCCTGATTAAATAGAGAAGTGAATAAATCAGAAGGACTCATGTCTGTTAGGCACCTTTGAGTAATATCCCATTTAAAGAATGATTTGGCTCTGTAATATAAAAATACATTTAAGGTCACAGTTTTAGACAAGTGAGACCTAAACAAGAGAACAGAACCTCTGGCACCTCTGCTCTCCTTGTTATTTTGGAAAATCTGCTTGCATATTAAAGATGCTTGCCTAAAATCAAGCTTCTGAGTCAGTCCATAGTTCCTAACTTTCAAAAGGCTGGCAGCCTGGTACGTGCAGTAGTAACATAACTAAACTGCATGAAACATACATAAGCTGGGCAAGCAATGAATCACAGGAAAGGGAAGAGTCATGTACACAACTCACAAGCCTGCCTCTTGGCTACGAGACTCTGTCTGGAGTCTCTGAACTGAATCCCACAGCCAGCAGCCTTAATTTGGGCATAGTCTTCATGTTGAGGTGTGTAACATTCAATTCACTTGCACAGCATGTACAGAGGCAGTTGTATAAATATCAGACAGAAAATGCCTGGTAGTGCTGACATAATATGACAATCTCAACACACATTAGGTCAGCACTACCTTTCCTCTCTTCCTGCAGTAGTCCTGGCTATTGCATTGCAAATGGTAGAGTTGAAGAGGTAAACAGGAAACTGGTCTCAGCAACGGAGCTGACAGACTGCCTGGACAGCTTGCTGCCTCTCCCAGCTGCCTTCCCCTATCACACAGCACTAATGCATCCAGACTTTGATGATGCAGAGGAAATGGCTGTGGGACTCCGTACCCAGGGAAAGTAAATAAGGTAAGAACAGGCTGTTTGTGCCAGAAAAAGCTCTCTAGTTCTGAGTGAATTCCTGCCTCTACCACAGACCTTCACAAATAAAGGGCCCGGAGATGTCTGCACAATCATCTCTTTTGACATAGATCTGCTCCATATGACATTCAGGAATTTAATCTAATGTCTCTGTTCTCTGAGAGAGCACCTCAGACCTGGAGCATGGAGAAGACAAGCAGGACAGTGTGTCATCATGACTACATTCCCTCCCAGATGAACAGACACAGCACAAAATGACATGAACCAATGGCCACAGACTTCCTAGTGCTGGCAAATGCACCATTGTGTTAATAGGTTCCTTCCTACCCAGAACTCAAGGTCTCAGATGAAGTCACTAACCATCTGTTATATCTAATCCAGACAATTAGTTAAATCAGATAAGCAAATAAGTCATCCTTGGAAGGACATTCATTTTTGTTTCACTGTACCATGCAGAAGCCTTTCCACTCCACTAGTACATTCTGAGGCTTAGGTTATTCATCTCATAAGTTTTCTTTACATCTGACAGTATATTTATCCCTGCATATTGCACTGTTTTATTACTCCACCTAAATTCAGATTGATTATGCTCTTCCACAACCGAAAGGTGAATTGTCAAAGCTTGTGATTTATTACAACTCACTTTAAAGACTGGAACAGAGCTGGATTTATTTCTGCAAGAGCAGACGGCAAGACAGAAAAGGGAAAGCAGGACTGTTGTACCATTCAGCAAAAGGAGACGCTGTTTATGTTTTGCTTATTTACAGACCTGCTTCAGTTTACAAAGTGACAGGTTCCAGAACTACTGCAAAGGTAATAGTGTGGACAAACCTCATGGGACACTTCATCTCCTTAATTTGTCCTGATATGTAAACTCATTGATCACTTCTACTAATGCTCTGCAATGGTATCAAATGCCTGGATGCTGTTACCTACTCGGCAATATCATCCCAACTGTGAAAGAACTGCCCTACATGAGAGCCCTCCTGTCAGTCATTTCAGTAACCTCAGATATTAACATTTACTCCATAGCCTCTTAGATCAGAACAACCACGTTTTGTAATGCCCAATGGATGCCCACGCAGAGTCAAACCTTACTTCCTCTGACTTATTTACCATCTCTGACATGGGTTTGCATTCTCAATGACAGTTAGTTTTAATCTTTCTAATGGACTGGAGAAAAAAATATCACAGCTCTTAGCTTTTGCCCTTACAGGCAAATCTCATGTTCTTCTGTGGAAAAGTTAGCAAATATTTACTATGTGACTGGCTCAACAGTCACGGGACAAGAGGCCACTGGTGGGGAGAGGTGACAGGAAGGTGAGAGCAGTGGAAGTGAGAAAAGGCCTCTAAGCAGCCATCAGGACACAGATTGTGTCATGATTACATGGGTTAACAGAACTCATTACACCAGCTAAAGGCAAACACACTAGCCTGCTACTTCAAGGCCCCTTTCTCTCCTGCACTGATTAATTTTCCCTGTCACAAGACTTTTATTTTATCTTTTAAGAGCAATAAAACATGCTATTTGCAGTCCTGAAAACTCAAGAGTACTTCAAAATTCTCTGACAAGAGTCTCCAGTTAAAACCTCAAACAAATGAAAATGACAAAATGAAAACCTCAAACAGAAAGCGGTGTCCTCAAGACCTGTTTTCTGCACACTGCTTTTTCAAAGTTCCTGTTCATCATACCCTTCTCATCTATCAGCAGCAAAGTATTGCCCTCAAATCTGCAAAACAGCTTCTTCAAAGGCTGGCACTGAAGAATCTGAAGTACCCAGATGTGTACCTGAGTAGAGGAAGTAGCAGGGTTTTTCATGGCATACATCAGCAGGACCCTTCAGATCCCCCTCCAGCCAGTTCTCAGAGAATCCCTTCCTGTCATAGTAGATGGATGACAGAGAGAGATAACACACACACACAGTCCCATTTTCCACATAAGGTTTCCCTGGCAGGAAGGTTGTGTATACACACATGGCCCCCTCTATCGAAATCCTTGGCTTCATAACATTACTAAAAGCTTTAAGAACCAAAAAGCCCCGAGAATCATGGCCAGGACAGCAGCCCTTCCTTGTGAAAGCCACATACCAGTAAAATAAGCAAAATGCTGGAATTGCTCTTCAGTATGGGAAGCAATGGGTTAGCAGTGTTCAGTTGACTGGATGTGCCACAATCAGCTTCTTCAGCCTCAGTTTGCTTGCAGTCTTCCCAGGAAAACCAGAGTTGGAGGACTTGGTGTCCAAATCTCCCCATAAGTTCAGGGTAGCGCAGGAAGAATTTCAGCAGGAGAGGACAATGGACATAGACCAAGCTCAGATCTGGAAGATTATCTAGGATCCTTTTTATTGTAGACAAAGACCTCTGATATGAGGGAAAGGGGAAGTGGGACAGAGAACAAAATAATCACTAATACTGAATATAAAACACCTGAAGCAATGAGACTACTATGAGAAATTGTCACACTGCCTTTTGAGCAGACAATCAAATGCATCAGTTAAATATAATTTTGTGAAGCCCATTTGCATCACAAAGGCTAAGAAACTTGTAGGCTTTATACCGAGCTCAAAGCTGTGCAGCAGCAAAGAGCCATATGGGAACACTAGAAAGCCTGCTGCAGAGGCTGGAGATGTGTTTGGGAGACCAAAGCTATGAAATTTATTATATTCTGTATGTGAATTCACAGCCTATCCAACGCAATTACACTTCCCACACATACACAAGTTTATTCTGTCAAATCTATATTCCCCTGTGGATTTTTTATAGTTAACTTTCCAGAGTGTAGATGTGCTGCATAGTCTTCACTCATTCACTGTTCACCATCTATGCCAAAATACTTTCTGCAAGAAGGTTGATGTGAGTGAAGAGAAACCTTAGTTTCAACAAAAAGATTCCAAGATGTAAGAATGAAATCTTTTACCACATCCAGGGCTTTGCCTTTGTCTTGACAGACAGCAAGGAGGTAAAGTGCAGCTCTGAGTATGTGTGGAGGGGGACAGTCTCCATGGTCCTGTGCTGATAGGAGAAAATTTCTTACAGCTAGAAATAATTCTGCATCTGGAACAAACCTGCATTGAAGGAGATGGGAGTGAAAACAGTAACAATAGATATGCTTTACCCACCAATACGTGGTATGTAATGGCCACAAACCCACTTGCTTTGTATATTCTTGGCTCACCTGTCCCCAAAGGTGTAGGCAAAGTATAAGAGTAGTATGAAACAGTGCTGGTGGCTGCAAAGAGACTGATCCAAAAAGTAAGGCTCAGGGGTTTCAGACAGGAGGAGAAGGCTTTCAGCAATGGTGTAGTTTAACTGAGGCAGACCCTTCAGCAGGAGTTCAGACATCTCTTGCTCTAGAAATAAAAATATAAGCAGGCAGGAAATGATAAGCAATGTCTATGGAACAACTCCACAGTCTGCACACACCAAGCACACCTCTATAATTTGGCATCAATAGTGGTGTGAGACCTGTCTTAACAAAGCTGACTTTAAGGATGAAAAGACACTTCTGTTTGAGATTCCCAGCCCTTTGCTGATGCTGCCTGTATGGTCACCAACCACTGCCAATGGGAAAAGTGGCTTTTCTGATGTAGAAACTTTTGTCTCATTTGTTTGGGATTTACCTGTTATGGAAAGTTTCAGTATAGACAGGAAAGCTTTATAGAGCATGCCAGAGGGGAAAAAATTACCTTAATCAGCAGATATGAGTGACTATGTGGCAAGTAATTTTGTTTCAATTAAGCATACACAGCTGTGCTAATAAATGTCCCCATGTAAACAAAACCATAGGCAGATGAAATGCACTCTTTCATGTAGGGTCCCAAACTCTTCAAAAGGCATTTTCTGAGTGTTTTCTGTGCTGGTCCTTGCTGGACCAGCTTAAAAACAAGCTGGGGGAAGAGATCTCTCAAGCTATGTGTGTCCTCCCTTCCCTTCTCCTTTCTCCTTTTCTGTTTTTTTTTCACCTGTTGCCTAAATAGAGGGTGGGAGGGACTCAAATTAAATGAAACGATCTTTCTTTTTCCCCAAACTTGCCCTCCTGAGAAGTTCTCCTCTTCTCTGTGGCTGAGTAAAGGTTCAGGCATAAGCTGCAGAGGAAGCTGGAACAGGTGTGATTCAGGACAGGATTACTGTGAAGAAGAGCAGAAAGAGACAGTAAAAAAGGCTAGAAATATCCTCTTCCTACTTCTAATATCACACACTGTCTGCCAAAAACTCATTTTACTGAATGATCACATACAAGCATCTGCCCCATCACTAGAAGACTCTAGGAGCCAGCCTAGGCTTCCAGAAAAATGAGTTCCCAATGGAATGTCAGCTCACAGATGTGGTGAGTGTGTGCACTGACAACAGTGAACACGTTCATACTTTGGGCCAATGTGAATGTAGTGGGGTTCTCTCACAACCATCACACCTTGTCTACACAGGGATAATACATAAGGACAGGACCCTTAACACTGCAGAGAATGGGAGATGTTTAATACGTGACTCCACTGACAAACAACACTGAGGTTTTTTTAGCAATGACATTGCCAGAGATGAACACTGAAGAATGCCAAAATATTAACTGAAAGGTGAGAACAGCTATTTCCAGGTATTTTTCTCTCTCTAACCACTTCCTCGCAGAACAAGACATAACCAGACATCTGTAACACACCATCCTTGGCACAGCACAGTGCTCTATGTGGGGACCTAAACCACTCCCACCACACACCATTCACAGGCACAAATGCCCCCACTCAAATTCCACACTAGTAAGTTGGACTAGGAGTGCTATGTGTTTTGTTTACTTTTTTAATGAGGTACAGTCACAGGAAAGAGGAGGTAAAACATCTCTGCAGACCCACAGAGTCTCCCCAAATACTCCTCAACCTAGAAATCATAGCTTCTACTACAGGAGACCCTTTGCAATACCTGCTACTGAAGTCATCCTCCTCCTCCCCATTTCTAATACATTATCACACCATGAGGAACAACAACAGTGGTAGTATATGCCTAGGAAGCCAGAGCTGAGATGGAACTGGTGCTACTGGTACTTCTCTTCAGAACACCCATTGATCTGACTACTCCAAAGTCAGGCTGCTTTATCTCTATCACAATGCTGTGTAAATCCATCCGCCCCCTACCAAACTGCTTCTCCCTTCTCCCACATCAAGCTCTTCCATTGTCAGTAACCATTTACATTTTTCAGTAAGACACAACCATTCTTGAGTCTTTCAGCATCTTGTCTTGCCTAATCAGGTGTATTAGATAAGGCATGATCTACTTTCCCATCTGGAAATTTTTGGCTCACTTACAATGCACATGTCACAATACCTCTGCACAGAGCAAAATCTGGCTTTCAGCTCCAGTGTCAGTCGGATGAAGGACGAGGATGCTGGACAGAAAGCAAGACAGAAAAGTCAAAGGAGCACAGAAGATGTATGATAAGAAAAAGAGTAGGCAGGTCCCATAATCAGCCCCACACATCTCCAAACAAGCCTGGTGAAGAGGACAGGCCATCTCAGTAAGAATACATATATTAGGCTGCCTCTCAGAGTAAACTAAGTAAACTACTCCAAGTTTGGTTGTGAGGGGAGTATCTGAGACTCATTTGTTTTCTCAGGAGGAGAAGCGAAGATTTGCCAGTTTCACATGTTTAAAACAGAGGAATTGTCTACATCACCTCTCTGATGTGTGAAGAATAAGGCACACATAGACTAAACCAGGATTTCTACATAGTAAAATCCCACCTACAATTCCAGCATAATCCCTGCCTACAGGAACAGCCAATTCAATTCTGAATTATTCCAGAGGGAAGGATAAAGCTGACACAACACTCTTATCCAAAATAAAACCTGTCCCATCATCATTGCTAGACCAAATAACCTTTCCATCTTGCTGAACATGACAATGCACTCTATTCTTACTCATATAAACACGTAATAGAATCCTCCACATAAAGTCTCAATGTTAGGCTCACGGCCTCAGTAATATGAAGCAGCAGCAAGTTCCACCAGTTAAGAGCACAGAGAACACGATCCCACAATACCCTCATACCCAGCTTCTTGGAGAACTTATTCCTCATGCTTGGCACCACTGTAAAGAGGGTATTGAGTGCTGAGATGAAAACCTCTGTCACTGATGGGCTCACAGCCCTTTCCAGATAGCTCTGTGGAAAGACAAAGAGATCAGGTGCACAAGATGCTATAAGCACTGAAGGCATCAGCCTTCTTCCAGCCTCCTACCTGCCCAGAAAATCACCTTTCTAAATCCAAACAAATGGAGTAGCAGTTCTTTTACCAAAATGCCTGGCAGCAGAGCAGGCTCACAGAGCACTTTGAAGGCAACTAACACTCCCTCCTGCCAGTGCTATGAGCTGTGCTGGTAACTCTGCAAGACATCACACCAGACAAGAAACTTCTTCTGGACTCCAGCAGTCAACCAGATAGGCCTTAATGCACATTGACTGCCATTACTGCCCACATTGCCCTGGAAGTTACTGCTCTTACAGGTCAGATGGCTAATTCTCCTATGCAACATAGGACATATGTTTAAGTGCAGCTAACTTCAGCAACACTTAACACCTGGGCTTCAGTATTCCACTGAGCAGTGGCAAATACAGGCATTTGAGCTCTCTATACTGAACTGTTTAGAACAGAATGACTCAACTCTTGTTGAAGGTTATAGGACAATCTTCTCACAGTTCATTAATTTTTACTCAAGTTCAATGAGCAAGAAACAGCACACACTGACTCCAGCTTTGCCAAACTGGACATGCACTGCACCCTCCTGTCAGGGAAGAGAACAGCAGTGCCACTGCAGCTGCCTACCAAGAGATTGCTTACAAAAACACCAACCAAAAACATCTTCAAGCTCCTAAGAACTGCAACAATCTATACACCTGTACCTGTCACAAAGCACAAGCAAACTTTTCTAAATGTTAGGAACCACAACAAAAGTCCCATTGTTTTGACAATTCTGCTTGAAATGTCTTGGGGACAGGCCTGTATGGAGCACTAAAGCACTCATGAGTCTCCACAGCTACTTTTTAAATCATGTCACCTTAGTGAGGCACAATGCTTAATACTGCCCTTGCTGTGCAGACTGGGCAGCCTCATGAGTACCTTCTGGGAAGAAATATAAAAATGAAATTGCAGGTGCAAAACATGGCTGCTCTCTGGGACACAGGCAAGTTTTGAAAAAGTGGCAGAAGGGGAAACAACAGTTCAGGCACTCTTCATTTTCTGCAACATCTGGAGCTGCAATGGATCCCACAGCATGGTAGGTAGGCTATGTGATTGCACAGTCTGAAGAAAGACAATGACATCTACATGGAAACTTTATTAATTTCTGTACCCTTTGAAACCATACACTATGGTGCATGAACTATATAATTTTTCATGAACTATATAATTCCACACTTGGCTATGGAAATATGGCCAATGCCACAGCTGTTCTCAGTTTACCTGATGTGCTCTCTTCCCCAAGAAACCATTTGTGCAACCCACTCTAGATGCTTGAAAGCACCTCTCCAGGTACCCATGGAACAGACCAGGATCAAAAGAAATCCTACCATGACCATGGGGATGCAGAGACTGTCACAAATCCTCAACAGGAACTCAGAGAAGTTGCTTAGTGTGTCTTTTCTCTCAGAGTTGGGGGCAGTGAAAGCGTTCTCCTGGGCCATGAAATCACCCTGGAATTGCACTGCTAACCTACAAACACACAATGGATAACAGAGAAAAGAAGAAACCTCCTCAATTCTCTAAAGGAAGCCAGGAGATACTACATTATCATCACAATTTCACCATAAAAGACCCACAAACACTCAATGGGTTAGAAACAGGAATCTGGCAATTACAATCTGCTTCACCTCTTGAGTGAAGCTATTTAAAGTCATTAAGGTTGCATAACAGTACATGTTGGGAAAGCAAGACTTAGTTTCTGTGAAGAAAGCATCTGCTGTGGGAAGTTGTGGTGCGGCAAGACTGGTTTTCAGCCATACCAGAGTGCCTGATGCACAATATAGCAAACCTTGTGAAAATCGGCCAGGGGACCATTTAGCTGATATAAAATCCATTACAGAACCCGAGTGCCCTCTAACACCACTGCAAGACTCTGGGTCAGTGCAGAAAGGTGTGAATGCTTCTGACTGAATTATCTCAGCCAACCCAAGTGATCCAAGGCAAAAACTAATTTGGCCCCACCACTCTAAAAACTGATCCTGAATCATCCTGATTCATACACAAACTCATCTACCACTGTCTGCTGTGCAGCTAAGGGTGCCAAATAGCTCTAATCCAGCAAAAGAGGGAAAGTTGGTGCCTATAAAGCCATTTTCGGTGACAGGTCACAGGCACGAGCAAATCCAAGGCCAGCATCGGGAGCAGATACACATTTGTTAAATGGTTAATCCACTCTGGCAGTGAAACCACATAGCACAGGAATCTGGTTTCACACATACCTTCCAATAGTTCTTACATTATCAGCAGTTTTGGTGAATTTTTAAGCAGTTCCTCAAAGCCCAAAGATATGAAATAAACTGATAGGTCCCAAGCAAATTTCATGGGAGACATATCCAGGTGTCACAAAATTTCCACTATTAATATATACCCCTCACTCTGCTGTTTCACTGAGCAGTGCCATGCACCGAAAGCACTTGTGATATTTCTGTGGTGGGATGGGCTGGAGGAATACAGTCACAAGGACAGAAGAATGGACAGACATGGACACACACCACCCACCCACACACCTTCCTGACTTGTCCTCACCTGCAAGCGTTTCTGAAACTTTCCAGGGTATTGAGCAAGAACTGACCCTGTCTCTGAGGAACTCTACCAAGATTCCTGTTTGTCGGGTGACTCTGAGACACTGAGAATAGGAGATCGCCCTGTTGAAGGAGAGAAGTCTTTAAAATCTTATGTCCACTTTCAGAAAAAAATAGCTTTCTCCTCTGACACCAGCAGCAGGAGGAACAACAGATTTCACTTCACTCCTTCACACAATTTTTTTACTACTGTGCTTTCCCCAGAGAGAGAGCAGAATTAAACAGCTTGTGTGCTCTTCCTAGGAAGGACAGAGTTACAGAGTTACTAATTCTGCACTGCCCTGCCTTTAGAGTCTGTACTACCATTATTTGATCTAATCTGAGTTTTAAGCATTTCAGCTAATGGAGCTTTAAATCCTTCTGAGAAAACTTTGTATTTTTAAAAATTTTTCTTCTTCCAAACACTCTTAAGACAACACAGAATACTTCTGCACCTTGCTTAACAATAAAATCTTAGAAGTTCTTCTACTTTGGCTCAGAGTTTTAAACGGCTATCCATGTACTAATTCTTGTTCCCACACAGTATCCCACTGAGTTAAGCCTGAAGCCAATTGAAGCATCAGAGTTAATAATTTTCCCAAATTGGGAACAACTTGAAACTCCAAATCTGCCTTTAAGCCTTAACCTGTTGTGGTGGTCTTCTCCATAATAGCAGAGGAAGCCACAGCTACACACTGGTGCCTGGTAGTTCAGAACTCCTCCATTTCATGCTGAGATACCCTTGGCAGATGCATCATAATTTCCCCTTTTCTCTCCTGGATATCCTCACTATCTGTCTAACTTCCTTCTTGTGAAGCTCCTAACTCTGAAAGGAACACCTAGCTCTATATGTGTGCAAACTGACTGGCCAACATCTGCCTATGGGACAGAAAACACTTCTGCCTTCTTCAGGCAGAGAAGGCCTTATTTGGTACCACAGAACTTAGGTCTAAAAGAAGTTCATCAAGAATTTGGAGTGCTGCTACTCTGAGCATTGAGGTGTTCTTGTCACTACTGGCATGCAATCTAAATCTACATGGCTCGAAGGCTACAGCAAAAAGGCTCAGCCCCTGTCTTTTCATTAGCCATCTGCACCTGGGGCTCTTCTCAGAACTGCAGAGGTCCCAGGAGCACATCACACTAACAACAGATACTAGGAACAGGAAAGGATTTATAGTTCAAATCGTGGCTAACAACTTCCTTGCTGAGGGATCACAGTGCATATATGATGACACTCTTGATCTGAATGTAGAACAACAAATGTTCACTGCTGAAAAAATAGATTAACTAATGTAGCCTACAAGGTGGGAGTGGGAAGAAGGGGAAGTTCAAATGACTTTGGAGTACTGGACAAATAAAGAGAGCAGCATGCTCAAGTGGTGCTCCACAGAACTTCACTGATTTAGAAAGGTAACATTCACCAGCATCCATCTTCATCTGCTTCAGAGTCTGGTACATCTCAAAGCAAGAAGATCAAAAGAAACAGCAGAGAATCAAACAGCCACGAGGGATGTAAGTAAGGCATGGAACATATATAAAACATCCACATAGTGTCCTTGGAAGATCATCCCTGTCCTGCTCAGTCCTACTAACAAGCAACAGGTTTTGACTTACTGCATGCCTCTTACTACTCTGTGGTGGGGAAAGGTCAGCACATCGCTTCAGCACTGCCTCCAGAAGCTTCTGCAGCTCTTCATATGGGACTGGAGGGCAGCTCAGATGGTCCTTCCTTAACAAGTGAAGGAACAAATCTTAAGAAAAAGACAAGATGCACAGTCCCCGCTGAGACATTCCACTAGGAAGGCAACGCCATCAGAAATAACTGCTCTTCTGATGGAAAAAGGCCACTGCCACTTCTCTCCAGCAGAGCATAGTAAGGTCACAACATCTGAATAGTGCCTTCACCCACACAGAGCCCAAACATACCCTCAGTGCTCTGTCTGTTTCCACTACAGTCAGGAAGCCCACGACTGTCCAGAGTCTTATGTTTATTATTCTTATCAATCTGGATGGGGCACAGAGTGACAAAGCCACAGCAGCTGCTGTACAAGCCTGCCTGGAACACTAGGTCCTTGCTGCCTGCCACAGCTTCACTGCTCTGGCAGCTTTCCTGAGGCGGGTGGGAAGCTGGCTCTGCTGTACCCACGCCTGCCTCAGCCACAAGTCCCACTGCAGAGCACATTCACCCACACAGCCACAGGGGAACTGCAAAGCCCAAGCTGGTATCAACAGATCCATCTGAAGAAAAGTCTGCAAATACATTCCTGCCTACCTCAGGAAAGCTGCCACAGCTTTCACAGCCTCCACTGCTACCTCCAGCACTGGGCAGTTCACTGTCTCCATCAAAACATCAATGGCTTCTATACAGACACCTCGGTTTGTGAATAATTTGATTTCCATTGGTTGCCTGTGAAGAACAAGTAAAGTAAGCAAGGAGAATGTTGTCAGAGTTAGGTAACTATAGTGCCCTTCCCTCATTTCAGCAAATGGACAGCTGAGCCATGAGATTGCACCCATGTTTTTCAGTATTGAGAGCCAGCTGCTCTCAAGGAGGTACTCTCAGACTTGAGCAGGTAGAGGATTTGCTATAAAGAGGAAATTTCAGCCAGTCTGAAGCAAAATCCTGATATAACACCCACAGCCAGGATAACTGTGTGATTACTCCATAACATTGACATGAAAAGCACAAGAAAAACAAGCTTTGCAAAATACAGTGATCTGTGTGCCTAAGACTTTACGTTCAGGCCATCTGCTCTGGCATTTGTGAGTTCATCTAGCAACTTATATTTTTAAATATCCAAGCAAACCATCTTAGAATAAGGATAATGTGGTTACTGTGCTGCAAAGAGAGAGAAAAGACAGCAACACACACGGATCTCTTTTGGGGAAAAAAGGCCAACTTTATTGTACAGACAGCCCGTATTTAAAGTGTGTTACGTGCAGCTAGGACAGGACAGTGGTTCATTGGACAACTGGGACAAACATCCCTGGGACAGCATGTCCGGAAGTACCATGGGAAAGATACCAGGTGTTAATCTTTATTATGAATTCCCTTCTGTTTTTCACCAAGTTATCACTCTGGGAGACTGCCTCCCTTAACTGAAGCTGTAGTCAGCTTGTCAGCCTGGGAATGGACCTGAGAGACAGGAGAAATCCAGGCCTGAAAGGAATTGCCAAGCTGTAATTTCCTAGCTCTCTAACTGTGTGTGTCCACAGGATAATGCCATGAGAATAGATTTTCTCAACGCATTCCTAATGCCAGATGCTGCCAGGACAGGAACCTTCACAAACTTGAAAAGTAATCAGGAAAATAAATACAATCAACTGTTTTGACAATCTTTCTCGATAGTGAGCATTTTGGTTATCTGTGGCCCAACACCTTTGAGCATTCAGCATGAAAGCATGGAGGACAACAGGCCATTAATCCCATTATTGGACAGAGATGTGTAAATGGCAGACCGCGTTCATTTGGCTCCTGGCAAGCTGGTACAGCTGGGAGGGCAGGGGGAAGATAGGCAGCTACATGCAGACAAAAGGCACTAACAGCCTGCCAGAGGGTCCCTCCAAAGTGAAGCAAGAAAAGCAGCACAGCATGACAGGAGCCAGATTTGGGAGCCAAAAGTATTCCCTGTTATTCAATTTTCACAGTCGTGCCTGACTAAAGCAAGCCAGGAGCACATGCTCTCATGCACAAATGGGAAAGCAAGCAAAGTGAACTTCAGTAGAAATTACACCAGTAGCCCAGTTACATGGCAAAAAGGGAACAGAGGAAGAACCACTCTTTTTAGTCTCTCAGTGGGATGGAACCCAGCTTTGCAGCCACCTCACATTCTGCTGTGAGAAAAAGCTGTGAGGTGGGCATGGCAAGGAAAAGAACTTGTGGAACTCAGGCATCAAAAGCCAAGCCACAAGTGATGCACTGACCTTGCAAATTGCTTATACTTACACTGGGTAGTTCTATTAATCGTCTGTATTGCCTTCCTTTAATCGCTGGCCTTCTGAAGTAAAGCACATCAGGAAGAAAAAAGTCTTCACTGACTCATGCAGAGAGGAAGGGATGGAGGAGTATTGCTGACTCATTCAAGATGCACAAACCCACTTTCAATATGGTACACTGTGATATCTTTGGGGCCTGGGGGGATAGTGTGAAGGGCAGCACTCTTGCAGCTTCCTACAACCTCTCATCTTTGGGTCCCAAACTGCACCTGCCACTTGGATTATGATGGGACAGACAAAGGTCACTCCAGGGAGAGCTACCCAACACTCCTGACATACTGCCAAGGCAAGCAGTACGTCCTGTGTGGACCTCACCAGAATGTGTGGATGACTTACACAAGAGGATCCAGCTGCAAGCAAAAACCAAGATGAGAGGCTCCAGCACAAAATCCTTTTCCCCACTATGAGATATCTAAAAAAAACCCATTATTTCTAAGGCAAAGCTGAGAGAAACAGAATGGGTGTGCTAGAAAATTAGAGTAACTGCACAGAGTGTTCTCTTTGTTGTACAAGCATAAATGCTGTAATTAGTGTTCCCCACATCCTAGTTTCTCTTTTTGACAGATCCCACACTGGCAACATCACACTGTTCTAGCACTGTTGCTTTTTCTTCTCCTTTTTACCCTGCCACTTGCTACAAAATTGACTATGACATTTCCAAAATTCTGCTCAAGGGCTCTCTTGGGGGATCTAAGTGGCAAAAACGAGACTCTGTCACTAGCATGACAGGACTGGAACAAGATCATAGAGGCAAGAACAGGAAGTACAGAAGAAAAACAAGCCAGTGTATATTATTTCTTAGCAGAAAACAAGACGAAAAAAATGACAGAAGACATTAATATTTCAGCCTAGAATTTGTTTCTGCAGTTTGAATTTAGTTCAGATGATGATAGAAGACCAGAGGCCATGGAATTTACATGCTTTGTTTTGTCACAGAGGCACACTCAGCAGGAGCTGGCCAGCTCACATACGCCTGGACCTTCCTGGACTTCTCTCCTGCACTGTCTACAGCTGAAAATAGATTTCACCTCCCCAGCTGCCAAGGAAGCAGGAAGAGGAAGATATAGAGGTGGATGTAGGCACAGACAGGACAAGCTGGGAGATTCAGAAACAACCATCAGGCCCTTCTTTGCAAGAACAAAGGAGATGAGATTGTTCAGCACCATCTTTTAAACACAAAAGCTCTTGTGTGTAGGTATCTGGTCCTGGAAGAAAATCTTAAAAACCAAAAGTCCCACACTCTCCATTTTGGGATACCAAACTCTGCCTGTGCAAGCCTGACAGGGTACTCCCTTACCGTTTCAGTATTTCAGTGAAGAGCAGGAGCCCTTGTTTGTGCAACTCCACATTATTCAGCAGCAGGACACCTTGGAGACTCCTCACCAGAGATTCAATGCCTGTACACGTTCAGAGAAGTCACAGAGAGGCTTTTAATGTTTCAGATTCCAGAATGGGAGCAAAATTAATTTTTAAAAGGAAGAAGGATTTGAACAATTATTCTTCTGAGCTACTGACAGAAACAACTGTCCAAAACTGTAGAGTGTTCACTCAGCTTCCTCAAAACATGCCTCAGCCTTCACTGATGGAGATAAGTCCCAAAGAACAGAAGGACTTTAACCATTCTTCCTAAATCTACTCTTGGCATATACACAAAAATACTTAATAGTAACTCAGAGAGTGTCAATCATGATAACTGGTTATTATAATTAATTAATGCTCATCAGAAACCCATTAGGACAATGACACTATAAATTCAAGCTACAATGGACATCACAACCATGTCTGATAGGTACTTATTTTTAGTCCTTTATCCATCCTGACTGGAAATTGTAATTGTGTGTAAAGCACTGGAATTCAGCTAGAGGCATAAGAATTACTGCAGTCACTCTGTCAGAAAGGTTGATGACTCACCATAGACGGTGTGACACTTGGAGAAGAAAAGGCGCTCTTCAGTCAGGAGGAGCAGGCAGCAGTACACTGACCAGATGAGGATTTCACTTTTGCTCAACAGACACTCAAAGAGGAACTCTGCAAACACACACACACAAATAAGGTCACCCTGGTAAGAGGCAGGCTGCTCACAGCATGGCACAGCTGCTCCTAGAACAGAGCAGAGGAAGGAGGAAGAACACAGCAACAGCCATAGGGAGAACGGCTGTACTATGAACGTCAGGAATAGAGAATAGAGTAGATGCTCAGGGGTATGCTAGTCTTCAAAAAGAGGTGACTGGAGAGCAGAGGCCCACGGGCAGGCATCTCAGCACAAACTCAGTAGGAAGGAGCTGAATTGTGGATCTAGCCTTTGGCAAAGATGAAAAGACACAAAGCAAGCTTTACCACAGATGCAGTGACCTTTTTTTCCACATGACTTTTTCATCTCCCAAAGAATTTGTATCATGAAAGTATTTCTGTCTTTTGGGATTACAGAGAAATAATAAACCATCTCCCATAGCTGCATTCTAAAGCTAAATCCTAAACCAAAATCTGAGCAAACTTACAATATTTAGTGGAATGAGATGGAACCCCAGTTTGCTTAGGCTTGTATCTAAGGTCCTTAAGAAGGACCTTGACCACAAGGATTTGGCCAAATTCTCTCTGTGGAAACTCCGTTCTGCCTGGTGACACCTAAACTTTCAGTAGAAAGCATACTCCACCCTTCTACTCCTAAAATCACCTAGTATAAAATGGCCACCACATTATGCCACCAGTGGATTTCAAGGAGCCAGCCTGATTCCTAAACCAAACAGCCAGGAGCAGCTTTGATACTGGGGAATGAACAATAAGATGCTACTGCATTTTTTCACCTGGGACATCTGCATGGATAAAAGCAGGAGCATATCTGCTAGGAGAGTGAACCAGCACTGCAGCCATACAGTGAGAACTCGCTGCCTGTAGCATCTCATCTCTGGTCAACAAGAGCTGTTGGGGAGCAAAAGTCAAAAGGAGAAAGGGAGTCACCTATGCAGCTATGAGTGGGAAACAGTTTGTTCTACTTCTTAAAATATAAACCATAAATTAAGATCTCTCTTTTGGCATTTATTTCACAGATTAAATTTGCTAAGGTAAGATAAAACACTGAACCAAAGACACTCTAAAAAGCACATGAGAACCACAACAGAGTAGATCATGAGTAAGAATAGTTCTGCCCCCAGGCTTAGTCATGCTGGTGCTGCATGTGCTGTATCAGACCTCATGTGTAAGTGAGTAAAATCAGCTAAGGCCAGGAGTAAATTTTTCCCCATTCCAGGATGCAGGAAGAACAAGAAGGCAGTCAATAGAGGTATCACCATTTCTCAGTGCAGCCTCTATTGCTGGTGTTGGTAACAGAACACTCTGCTTTTTTATATATACAGTGCCTGAGATAAATTCATTACAGGTTCATTACAGCAAATTATTTGTGTGTACCAACAATTCACTACTGCTTCAGCAATCACCTTTTTGAGAATAAGTGGCAGTGGATTTTCCCCTTCTAAAAAGTCAGGGTTCTCAGTCTCCTCCTCTGTCTTTGAATTATTCATAAGAATAGATACAAAATGATCAGATTTCAGCAGCTCCTTTAGCAAACCTGAAAAAGGGGGAACAAGAATGAGCACCATACTGAGTAGCGCAGTGAGGATTATATTAACACACGAGTATTTACAGACTAAGACTTGTTGCCAACTTCCTTCCCTCTCCTGGAGGGCCTCACCTCCAGTTTAGGGAGCTTCTTCTCAATGTATTCCCAGATACTGCCATGACCCCCATGTCTAGCAACCCTTATTGCTGATACTTTTTGCTGGTCTGATCTGCTCCCTGCTCCTTCTCAGAGTCATGTATGTACATGGGTGCATCTCAGGAGTCCTTTACTTGCATTATCTTCTGTTAGTAACCACACCTTAAACTGCTCCTTGGGAGAGCTCTTGACCTTCATTCTTCTCCAAGCAGCCAGTGATCCCAACGACAAGACATTTTCCCCAGAACACTTCCTAGAGAACAGGCACTTACCTTCCCCTATTTTAACAGGCTCTTATTGAAACAGCTGTGTTCAGCTACAGGATACCCACACTCCAAAGAACTCCCTCAGTATAACAGTATAGATCACTGCTACAGGTATTGATGAAAATCATCAGTACACATCAGTACAAATTCACAGAGATATCATCTGAGCTACAGAATTCTACTTTCAAAGGAATCATAATCTATTTCTAGTAGTTGAGCAGATAAGCTGAGAAGCAATACAGTTCCTGCTTGACTCCTTCTAGAAAAATTAATTCCCTGAATGGTTTACAAACAAGCAATGTCAGAAAGGCTGAAATTGTGCTCCCCAGCAACAGCTGAAACATGCAGTTGGAAGGATAACTGCAAGAAAGTGCCACTTCCACATTAGCTCTGTATCTAATTAACATGATGTCTCACATCTAAAGACTCTATTTTTTAGACTCCATCCCACTGCTCCACAAAACCCACCTGCCTGTGTACAGTATTTGCATTCATTGAGGGATGATCAGGCCAGAGCACAAGCTCTGAAGAGACTGAAGATTAGTCAGTGGTGGGCAAATGTGAGGCATCAGGGAACATGTGGGCCTGGGGGTGCTCAGCAGCAGGTCTGGGCTATTTCATTGTTATGGAGTAACAGAAAGGATTGACGGCCTTGGACAAGCAGCATAAAGATCCTCCATGGAACAACCCACATTAGACCATCTAAGCCAGCCAAGGATTTCTTCCTCATTCTAAGCCTTCCCTTGCACCTTGCAGTTTCTCTTAGCAATGCCTTACCCAAACAATTAACCTGCAGCTCCTTAGTCTGTGCACACTCCAGAGTATTCAAGAAGACACCATACAGCCTTTCTTCAAAGTGTCCTGAGAGCCGTTCTGTGCCAACAGGAGAGGAATACAGCTTGCCATACAAGTAGCACACAGCAGCCTTTATACTTTCATTTGGGTACGTCAAGCCCATCAGCAGATGATCCACCAAATTATCTAGTATGAGGAACAGGAACAGCAAACATTCACTGACATTTTAAAAGCACCAACCTTTTTCCCTTGAAAACTTGCACAAGCCTACTGGACAGACTGGTGTATGCAGGTTAATGAATGCCACAATTACGTGATGTGCTCAGCACCATCTGTCCCTCTGAGCAGAGGTACAGTAATAAACAGCTAGCAGAGCTCACTGTTCACCGTATGAAGATCCATCATCCCAGCTCCCTCCACAAAGAGTTCAGCTTGCTCACCAGACCCCCAAGCACTGAATCAAGGAAAAAAAAACCTAAATGTATGTTGCCTGTGAGGCAGACCCACAACCTAGCTGTGAATACCACCCTTCAGTAGGACATGACATACTACTCACTGTGCTTTACCACAAGTATATCAGCAAAGCCTGGGATGGCATCTGCCAGCTTGCCAAGGAGAGAAAATGTGGGCAGGCTGCTTCTCATGGTAGTTGCTTTGCACAGCTGTAGAGGAGACATAAAAGGAAAATGTTTCATTGATGAGGACACTCATCTTCTCTTCACCACTTAGGATAAACCACAGGAAAACCTGGAATACCACACTAAGTCTCCAAAATGTCTTTAAATGAACTCAAGGAATTGCTTACTTGCTGTTCCTTTCCCTCTTTCTCCCCTTCACCTCTTAAATGAGCAGATGAAACAGAATAATTTCTCACCACTTTTGCTACTTTCCTTTTTTTTGTACCCTGTGGGACCATCATAAACTTAGGAACAAGGAGAGAAAGAGCCCATGGCACAGGTTGGGAAAGTTCCTTATTTAACTGAAACGGTAAAGTAGGAAAACAAGTATCTGAAGAAACCATACAGCTTCATAAGAGTATCATGAAGCCCTATGGCTGCAAGGCTTCATGAGAACAACATAAGAACTCCATGGTAGACACTAACACTGCCTACATCACAGTTGGGGAACTGGCATTAGGACATCCAAGGTCAGGTTGGATGGGGCTTTGAGCAACCTTGTCTAGTGGAAGGTGTCCCTGCCCATGACAGGAGGGTTGGAACTAGATGATTTTTAAGGTCCCTTCCAACTCAAACCACTCTAAGATTCTGTGATCCCACTGCCACATCCCAGTCTTGCAGGGCCACTCATTCCTCAATCTCTGAAAGACTGGAAGGAAGGGGAAGAGAACTCATCTTCACTGACCTCCTTCTGACTTTCATCCAAAATGCAGTGTAAGTATTGCTCTGACTTCAGTTCCACAACAAGCCGCACCAGAACTAGACAGAAAAAACAGGATCAGTAATGCACACACAAGAGCACTCACAATCCATCTTCCACGGGGCTTTAGCAGACCAGTGAGCAAAGAGCTTAGAAATGAAATGAGCACAGACGTGCTGAGAGAGCAGGGTTACAGCAGCATTCCCAGTACTATTACTTCTGATAGCCCAGCTCAAGCTCCCTGAGGCATCATTCCAACAGTCCTGCTTCAGCTCCACTACAAATCATGCATGGAAATGAGCTGCAAGCGACAAACTGAGCCTCAGGACAGCAAGTAAACACAAGGAATCAGAAAAGGAAGGGGAAAAATACCTAGCTTAAAAGCATAAAAAAACTATGGTAATTGAATAGACCAGGCTTCCTACTGTATGAAAACTGGCCTTTAAAAATGCATCCTTCCAGAGAAGATATCAGAACTGAAATTGCTGAGGATCCTTAGATTCACACTCAGAGCTCCTCCATCAGCTGCTACTGTCCCTAAGGTAAGTGAAGTCTATCAGCCATTCCTCCCCACTGCAGTTATCCCATACACCTCACCAGAAAGCAAGGCACCAGTCACCAGAGTGGTGCTGTTCACCTTCTCAGCCTCAAGTAAGTGCTGTTATTATTGGTTCACTGAAACTTTAAGAACTCTGTCAGCTCTCTACTAATAAAAAGAACCAGCAAGAAATTATGTTTGCCAGGCAGTAGCAACACATCACCTGGGGTTTCCCTAACAAAATAACAAGGGAGTTGCCTGATGCTGGCAGGCTGCCTGTGCCTCCACACATATACAGGCAGGCCAGCTGCAGGAAGCAAAGTTCCTCTTCCAGTACTTTTAGAACACACCTAAATGTTCAGCAGATAAAATTTTAGCAATTTTAGCCCCTTTACTGAGACACTGTGCACATTTCTACACAGGATTTGGTAAGGCTGTCTTGGATGTAGCTTGCTGTCATGGCATGACTCATTTGGAAAACTTACACTTTTGATTCGTATCCTAGGAAAGCATTCTAAAAAGATATACCAGAGACTTTTGGGATCACCATTTCTTGGTATATCCAAGGCAATACTAGACCTACTTCAGCTACAGAGCTACATATCTCAGCAGAAGCATGTCTGAGATGAGTGATTTATAGATGGTTTAATAGAATTTTCTTGCCCCAAACGCTCAGAAACTTTAAAAAAACAAACCTGCAAGACTTAGGCAACACTAATTTAAAATTGTTCTGTTAGAGAGCATCCATCTCTCAACAGACTGGTTACATGACAGAAAGACTTCTCCACTTTTCAACCCCATTTCAAGCAAGTGTCTGAAAACTAAAATCCCTCTGGAAGAAGCTTTCATAGCTCCTTTTACTTTTTATGGCTGGACATCAAATGCATCATTGCACTGCTGGTATCTCTATACTCAGCAGAGTTGCCCAGGGTTAACTGGACTACAGAGATTCCTTTGTCAGCCCTGCAGATGTTTTCTTCAGTTTTCAAATGAGGGAGTGCTCACAAAGAGGAATCTACAGCCTGCACAGCTAAATCATAAACACCCTTTACTCCTAAGGAGAAAGCAGTAGATCCCATAGATTTCCATTTGCTTTGACAATTTGGTCAGGTCCAAAAATGCCAAAGTTGAGGCAGTGTTACCCATCTGATACGAAATTCATAACACACACACAACCTGTGAGAGAAATGTCGAGTATTTAAACATGCACACACTCCCCTGCCCTCCAATATTGGAGATTTTTGTTGCATGGATATAGATGGTCTTCCCCACTGAAGCTGTGTTGAAGCTGAGCATCTCACTATAGGTATCAGACAAGAAAGATTCTCCCCTTCACAAACTGCCAGTAATATGTGGCATTTGTTTCTCACCTTCAACTAATAGGTTCAGGGCACTGCTGTCTTCCACAGAATGCAACATCCCTACAAGATAAACCACAATAGGTCATGGAACTCATTCCTGCTTCTGATCACCAGTGCTGTAATCCCTTCTTGTTAAAAAGAGATGAAACGTTTTTTTCAGAACTCTTTTGTTTTCCCTGTTTCACGCCAGCCTGACTTGTCAGATGAGGGTGGATACTCTCCAGGAGTATTCCAAATGGTGCCTCCATAAGCAGGACACACGGACATGAGACACTTGGTTCTCTTGCAAATTTTTTATGTGCTTTATAGTTGAAGTCAATGGCTCCACCTATGTCAGGGAATATGTAACTGCTGCCACCCCCACATCTCACTGTGTGTATGCAGTATTATACATCTTCGACAACACTCTGGAATGATGGAAGTCAAAGCTCAGCTTTGAGTTTTGTCCTTTGTGTCCCCCTTTCTTATCAGTTACTATGAAGAGTAGTCAGTCTTCTCTCTCTATAGTACTGAAAATCCTGAAACCAAATCTGAGCACCAGGTTTAAATCATCTGGAAACTATTTCAACATTAAACCGAATCTGAAGGCATCACTTCACAAGTTAATTTTACAATGAGAGTGTAAGATTGGGTATGTCAAAATAAACCAGAGTCTCACTCTACTACACCCCAGCAGACAAGAAACTCTACTTCCCAGCCCCTTCCAACCTATAGCATCATATGGTTTGGATCCCCACTTCTGCCACACTAAACCACTTGTTTTACTGTTCCCTCATTTAGACCACTATTTCTTCTCCATCAAGATTTTAGACATTTCAAAGACATTCCCCTGCTATGCAAACAGAAACCAGTAAAAGAAGTTCAAGATCAGAGATTTACTGAAAAGACACTTTCTGACATCCTGCTGAACACTATTTTGCTGAGCCTGACTCACCAGAAAGCAGCAGGCTTTAGTTGTACACTAACAAAGATTTCTACAAATGTAAAGTGATGGTGTAAAAAACCCCCACTACATAGATTTGTGTTTTGCATATTTGATATTAAATCCTGCAACATGTTTTTAAGCTCACACTTTGATTTCTGCATGAATCTTCATGTAACTCCAGAGGCATACGACCAGAATGGAGGGCATTCAGGGAAGAGCAAAATGCCAGGCACTCCCTATTCTGCAGGACTTTACAGATACGTCAAGATACTTTGGAAAATTGCAAGAGCTTTATGAACATGCCAATCCTGCACCTTGGGGAATGAGAAAATTAATTAACCTATTTTAAATCAGTGACATGCAGCTTTCTGCAGGGAGTAATTACACACTTAAAAGAACGGTGAAAGTACGGAGGTAGGCACCTCAATATTCTTCTGCTCTCTATTTTTGGCTTCAAATGTGGGGAAGTCTCATAGGTATTCAACAAAAGGTAACTGCCTCCTCTCTGCTGCTGCCCCAGGCCTCAGCAGAGCTCTTACCAAAGAGAGTTCCTATTAAATGCATGCACACCCTCTCGTCTTGTGCCAGCAGCTGGACGACTGGCAGCGTCTGCCAGGCCAGGGCATCCTGGAGACGGGACAGGACGTGCTTCTTGCGCACCAGCTACGATCAAACACAGCAGCCCGTTAGGCCTTGGGCCCGAGCCCCGCGCTGCTCCCACCACCCTGAGGGGAAAAGGACCACCGGGGCCTGGGTGCCGAGGTGACAGTGCCGGCCAAAGGCCACACCGGCCGGGTCCCGGCCCCAAACCGAGCGCCGCAGAGCGGCAGCCCGGCCGGCGGGGCGGGGCCCGCTGGGGGGGCTCCGCGGCCCAGCCGCACACGGGAAGGGGCGGCGGGGCGGGCGCTGCCCACCGAGGCGCTGCCGTCGCCCAGGGTCTCCACGGAGCAGGCGAGGCAGAGCGGCGGCCGGAGCGGCAGCGCCCAGCGCGGCCCATGATCACCGCAGAGCGCCGCCACCCCCGCCGCCATCGGCCGCTGCCGGGACTGCCGTGCGGGCCCTCCCACCGCGGGGACGGAGGCTCCGCCCCGGAGCCGCCCCCGGCACCGCCTCCCTTCCGGCGGCCGCAGCGGCGCTCCCGCCTCTTCCCTCAGAGCGCGCTCGGGCGGAGAGCAGCGACCGCGCCGCAGCCATGGTGAGTGGCGTCGGGCCGCAGCCTCCTCTTCCTCCTCCTTCTTCTCCTCTTCCTCTTCTTCTCCTGTTCTTCCTTCTCCTCTTCCTCCGGAGGGCCTGGGCTAGAGGGAGGCCGCGTCCCGGCTGCACGGCGGGCAGCACGTGGAGGCCGTGCGGAGGTGCGGCCGTGTGCAGGGAGGAGGCCCAGGGGGATGGCGGTCCTGGGGACACCCGGTGACGGGGGACTCGGTGTCTGGGGTCACCCCCGCGCCGTGCTGGGAGCCAGAGAGGCCGCGGTTCTGCCAGCGCCGGTCGCTAACACCGCTTGTGACCTCGCTGCTGTGCCAGCCCACTGCCCGTGTTAACGTTTAGGAGCTAATTATGGTAGCTGCTTTACTTTACAGAAATAACCCTGGTACGTGCTCTTCTGGCGATTTCTTAAATTTTTTAGTGTGTTAATTTACACTGTTAAGGTGCACTGAAGTGCTTCATTTTGTGTAATCTTTGTGGTACAAAACGCCTGAAGACTAAGTGCACTGCTGCTGGTTTGTGGAGATTGGGAGTAGATACACTCTTTTCTTTGATGAGAAGCGTGTTTTTCTTACTTTTCCCCTTTACTTTGATACAAGAAGAATCCTTACTCTTTTAGGAGTAAAATGTAATGGTGTTTGTTCTATATGGGCAGAGCAGATGAGACACAACTCCAGAAATTAATGTATGTGGTGGACACGATGCCTGTGCAGTGTTGATTGGACCAAAGCCTCCTTTGCTCCTATTGTAATATTCTTTACTTTTTCCTTTAGAGTGAGGCAGAAGTGAATCCCAAAGCTTACCCGCTGGCTGATGCACAGCTCACCAAAACACTGCTGGATCTTGTGCAGCAATCCTGCAACTATAAGCAGCTACGCAAAGGAGCCAATGAAGGTGAGACTTGTATGTTAAAAAGTGTGCTATAAGTCATAACAAGGATTTTGTGAGATGCCACAGGTAGAGGTTGTCTTTTCACTATAGCTGTGAATCACTTATTTCATATAGATCTGGCTATTGCAGGTGTGTGTCTCCTTTCTCCTCCTTCAAGCCTGCTTTAACAATATTCAAGGACAGAACTAAGCTGTAATCTTTTCAGCATTTATATGCAGTTCTGGTAGATTCCCAAATTGTGTTTCTGGTGCATAGTTTGTAATCATGCATGCTTCAGTGGTGTGGCATTGGGATTACCAGATACCTAGACAGTTCAGAACCATGCAAGATTTGGATTTGAAGGTACCTCTAGTGCAACCTCCTTATAGAGTGGCTCCCTTCACCTAGTCAGACTTGTAAAAAACCCACAGTCCCTGAGGACAGAAACTCAGTAACCTCTTAGAATCCATGTCCCATGCAATAATCTTCTTCCCACTGATGCCACTTTCAACATCTCCTGAAGTTGTTTTACTTTAGATGTGCTTTCCCGAAAGACCTGGACTGACTCCAGTTTCTTTTTCAGCCACCAAAACACTGAACAGAGGGATAGCAGAGTTCATTGTGATGGCAGCAGATGCAGAGCCCTTGGAGATCATCCTGCACCTCCCTCTTCTCTGCGAGGACAAGAATGTACCTTACGTGTTTGTGCGCTCCAAGCAAGCCCTGGGCCGGGCATGTGGTGTTTCCCGGCCTGTCATCGCCTGCTCCATCACCATCAAGGAGGGATCACAGCTAAAGCCTCAGATCCAGTCTGTACAGCAAGCTATAGAAAGACTGTTGGTCTAAATGCCCATGAGCGTGTGTGTGAAATAGAAAAGTGCAAATTACAGGAAATTAATGTTTAGCTTCAGTTCAGATGATAGTTTTGATATCAGTGTTTCATTTCAAAATGCCACATTTTTGTTTAACAATGGCTTAATTATTAGTGTTTCCGCCTCCTAGCTCCCCACTTTTCTATTATTCCACTCCAACAGATTCATTCTCATTGTATTACTTCTTGAAAAGTGACTGTACAACTGTTTTATGTGTAAAAGAAGGACAGAAAAAAATTTCCCCCCTTGTCTTCCCGTCTGCCTGCTCAGGGCTTTTTCAACCCACTTGTCAGCTTTCTCTGTGTTGCAGTATTTCTGCTAAGCTTCAGCCTCCAGCAGGTGTGAGTAACTCTGCATTTCTGAACGGTTTAGGCTACTGAGGAAAAGATTCCCTGTGTTCAGACTGCTGGAGTCAATAAGTGATGGAGCAGCACAGGCGGGTCTAAGACAGGCAGCACCTACTGTGTAGCAGCAGATGGAGCCAAGATCAGCACACATAGCACAGCCCTTCTTGAAACCAGACAAGAGACTTCTGTAAGAGATGCATGGGGAACAGAAATCTTACAGCAGTACACAAGGGGAACTCTCTTAACTTGATTATTTTTAAATACTGACTTTTTAAGAAAAAAATAAAAATGCTGCAAAGCTAAATAGAATTGTCATTCCCTTGGTGAAGTATTTGCAACTAACTGGAGTGTTTCTGCTTATAAAGCTAAACTGCTCACAGGTTACCTAAAAGCTATTGTAGTAATTTGTACTCCCTACTCAGTTTTCTTTGCATAGACTTAGCACTAAGGTTGGACTTCCTAGGGAAGTACAAAACACATGGCAGAGAGCAGCCTGTTGCAGCTGATAAGGACCCTGCATCTGGCTGTTAATTATAAAAAGTGCCATGCTTTTTAGCTACTGCTAAGAAGAGAAGAGAATGCTATATCATCTCATGTCCTGGAAAAGCAGCATCGAGCACCAGCCACAGTCTGGATTAGTGGTGGTTTTATGGACCTGGTTTTTAGTTAAATGCATATTGTATAATAAATCCACTTCTGCTCTGATCAGAAAAGTTTAAACCCCTGTGTCGGAATATCAAATATTTCTATTGCAGGATGCCAAAGCAAAACTGTGGAAACTCCATGAGGTGCAATAGCAGAAGGGAAAATACATTTTCCTGTAATGTTTCCACAGAGGCACTAACCTCATAGCTTTAGTAAGTTCATCCCAAGCAGATGAAGTCAGCTCACAGAAAGACTGAAGATACTGTGTTTGTATATTTTTGTAAATGGCTGATACCAATAATCCTTGCTGAGGTGAACATGATACAAATACTTCAGAATCCATTTATCTAGATGAGGTTTAGAAGAGCTCCTGTTCCATTCTACTGATGCTGACTGTTGAGCTAGTTGTGTTCAGAAGTACAGCTTTGCCAAGGATTTGTCCTATTGTACCAAGACAGCTGATGTAAGAGAAAGCACATAAGGAGCAGAAATAAAGGATACTTAAGCAAGCAAAACTGTCTTTTTCTGCTCTGAAGCACCCCATCCCTTTTAAACTTCTGCTTAATGTGATAGCCTGCTATTTAAAAAAAAAAAAAAAAAAAAAAAAAAGCCAGGAGGCAGCTCTAATAACCTAGAACAAACTTGCCACAATCATCCAAAGCCTGGAACACTGTGCCTGAGGGTTACCAAGCCAAGAGAGACGTTAACATGGGTATTTGCAGAATTCAATTCACAAAATTGCAGGATAGTCTCACTATTCCACTCTTCAAGCCTTGCTAAGACAAGCGTTTACAATAACTTCTTTGCCCAAGGGCAAAATAAATTGCTTAGGCAAATCTTTATTAAAAATAACTAATCCAGGCTGATTGGAAGTGTAACAGGTACTGTAGTTTCAGTACTGCAGAGCTCAATGCAGGCTAGCTGCTCTGGAGGAATTGGGGAGGTAGAAGCGAGCAGCATGCTGGCACAGCAGCTAGGACAGTCACAGTGCCAGAAGGGTGGTCACAGCTGGCTCCACTATATGTGCCACACTACAGACTGGTCACAGGACAGTTTGTGAGCCACACAGCAGTCTCTGGACACTAAAAACACTGTGCAGACCAAAATGGACACCTCAGGTATCGGTTGTTTGTATCCCGTAGAAAGTTAAGAGTTCCACTATTTAATTAGTAATTTCCTAAAGCAAAAGCAGCAACTATTTATTGGTTTTAGTCATCTTGCACTGCAAGATAGGTGGGACATGGCAGGGATGGAAGTCTAAAACTCAAAACACCCAGCTGCAGCCTTCATAAGTATGACTAAAAAACTAAAAATACTGTATGTAACAAAGGCTCTCTCCATAACTTGCTATTCTTCTATTTTTACAGCACAGATTTGAGTACAGAAGCCTGCACAATAGTCTGACTCATACTCACTTAGAGAGGTGGAAAAGCTCTATGCCATCTCAGTAATTTAATTGGGATAAATGCTTGCAGCCTTCCAGGGAACACAATTTCTTTTCCATTTTTAAACCAGCTTTTGCTATCACCATTTAAAAATGGAAGACCTGTGTGTGCAGATTTGTTAAGTGCCAACTTTTTGCCCAAAGGATTGGATACTGCTTCCCAGTAATGATTTTTTTAAGATCTGCTGATAAGGCTTGTAATGGTGATGGCAGAAAATAACCCAATTTGATTACTAGTACTGATACTGGCTGTTTTGGAGAGTAATACATATTTATATCCTCTGTTAGGACACAGACTCAACCTGCTGCTTGAATTCATGTGGTGCCATTAACACAGATGATTGTGTTTTCTTACACTGAAATGAGTTCTGCTGCCTTTATAATGCAGAGACGGCACAGTCAGTGTTGCAAAGGAAAAGGTCCAAACTTTTATTAAGAAACCAGCAAGGCACAACTCTGTCCATATGCAGTGGGTGACCTGAGTTCACAGGGAATTTAGTTCTGCCTTTAGCAACTGTCAAGAGAATCCAACTTTGCAGAGATGTTTCACAACTAAGTAAAAAGTTTCTCCACTGCTAGACAGAGCAACATTTAGTTGCAGTCTCTTTCATAGCAAGATTAAACAGACACAGCACCCACATAAGCCAATCAAAATTATAAGCAGTCAGAAGTAAACCAGGGCCTTCTTCTCCAGCTTAGCGCTCATTAAAGTATTCAGTTAAAGCATCCACAAGCTCCTGCTTCTTGCTTCCACATCTCAACCTTAAAAACCTACATGCATCCTTCAGGACAGGTACAGTGAACTTGCCTAGAGTGCCCTTCTGCACATGATTCCGCAGCTCATCTTTTGAGACTTCTACCTTGGGCCTCTTCTCAGTTTGACCATCTGAATCTAGAAAGATACATTTTAGATTACAAAAATTTTAGAATTTTAGAAATTAGACATCAATGTTTAACCATAGTTAATGGCCATTAGCACATGGTGCTTTAACAACCACTCACAGACCTAGTTTCCATGTTTTCTTTTAAGATACAGGTGTCACTGTGTAAGTCATGCAGTATTTCATTGATAGGGGTGATCTTAACTGAAGTATGAAACTTTGTGCTCTGATGAAAACAACACCCTCCAAATAAAACTTCTAAGGGATTCTTGTTGAGACATCAGAATACAATGATTCCAGAGGCTCAGCTAACTGACACTCACTTTATGCAGTCTTTCATAGACTCCCAAATTACACATGGACTTCAGCATTACTTACACATTTAGCCCTTAAGATGCCCAACTTGGACTTGCTAAACAGCCCACGCATAAAAGTCTGCTCCCTCACCAACACAAAATGAAAGCATGAGTGATCTCACTATTCGGTTGTAAAACAGAAAGCTGCTAATATTATATATACATATTCTGCAGTCATTTACCTATGTTATTTCCTATACTTCACTCTGCAGTTTGTCACTCCAGCAACTCTCCAACTGGATACCACAATATTCTCTATTCTCTAAGAATCAATACTGGATATAATACTTCATTGTGGAGATCAGCAGAATTGTTGCACAAGGAGCTTCTTTAAACTACGAGACAAACTGAAACCACAGAAGCTTCTAAACAGAATACAAACATTATGTTTTGTGTCTGCATCACCATTACTTACCTTGTTTTCGCTTTACAGCCTTCCCATCAGGATTGTAGCTAGGGGGATAAACCAGCTGCTTAAACTCGTCCACGAGGTTGCCCAGCCTGTGGCTCATCTGTTCAGACTTTGGCACTGGCAAAAGATAAAAGATTTGCCCTTTGAGAAACAATGTGATCACAAGAAAGTCTACAAGGCCATCCCTGTTGCCAGATGAACTATCAGCTCACCTGGTGGGAAAAATGTAACATTACTTCTACAAAACCATTAGTGTATGGAATCACACAATACTTTTTTTTGCAGGATCATGTTAAATATTCACCAAGAAGGCACTCACAAAATATGAGCCAGCCTAGGTATGCCAACTCCAGTCTGTATTGGGAAATAACACCAGTTCATCAAGCATTCAGTTGTAACCTTAGGGTCTATGACCACCAGAGAGACCCCCAGGGCAGAAGAACATGTGCACAAAAGGGAACTAACACATGTTAATAATTCTGGGGAAATGATTACCACATGTATATTTCTTCTGGGAAAACCTATATAAACAGCTTTTTCTGTACTAGAGATGCACGATTTTGGTGGAGATATCCCCTCATGCATCAACTGTAATAAAGAACACCTGCTTCTTAAAGCTCCATTGGTGCTAACAAGTCTGACTATTTTTCAGTAACATCATCAGACACAACTGTGCTTGTGTAATAACTAGTCTGCAAGCGTCCTGCAAGGATGCAAAATGCAGATACTTGTGTTATGATACTCTCAAATGAGAAATTTACAGCTCTTGGTAATATCAAGAGTTTGAACATCTGGAATGCTGCGTCCAGTTCTGGGCTCCTCAGTACAAGAGAGACATGGAGCTCCTGGAATGGGTCCAGCAGAAGACAACAAAGATGATTAAAGGACTGGAACATCTTCTTTATGAGTAAAGTCTGAAGGAACTGGGCCTAGTCAGTCTCCAGAAGAGATGACTGAAAGGGGAACCTCATCAGTGCATCTAAGTATCTGAAGGGAGGATGTCAAGAGCACAGTGCCAGGCTCTTGGTGATGCCAAGCAACAAGACAAGAAGCAATGGGCAGAAACTGAAGCACAGGAAGAGCCACCTGAACATGAGGAAGAACTTTACTGGGAAGGTGACTGAGCACTGAAAGAAGGTCCATTTCAGTTCAACCACAGAGGTTGTAGAGTATTCCTTACTGGAGAAATAATTGAAGAACTACCTGAAACTAACCCTGTGCAATGTGCTGTAGGACAACCCTGCTTGAGCAGGGTGGTCGGACCAGATGAGCACTGTGGTCCCTTCCCTCCTCACCCACTCCGAGATTACACAAGACACTTAGAGATAAACTCTCCCAGTCACTAGGTGGCAGCACTGCCCCCCGCAGAATAACTCTCTTTATTCGGTCCATTCATCACACTGAAATATTAATGAGAATCTTGAAGAGAGGAATTTCAGAGAAAACATTTCTCACCATAGGAAAAAGGCTTTTCAATTTTAATTCTGGATGGTAAAGTGAGCATTTTTTTTCTTTACCTTAAAAGTGACAGCAATAGAAAATAAGGTTTCAATATTTCAAAATGGA